AAATAAATTATACAAAGTAATTAAATTAAACAACAAGTAAACAACAATTAAAAATAAAATTTAAAAATAATAATTTAAAAAAATTTAAAAATTTAAAAAATTAAAATCAAATTACGTAACTCGTTAATAATAATTAAAGTAATTATAAAATTAAATTAAAAATTTAAAAATTTAAAAAAATTAAAATCAAATTACGTAACTCGTTAATAAAAATTACACATAGGTGGACCATCATACTGATGGTCAGTGGGTGCGATCAATATTAACTTGGCCCTTGTACGGTATTTGACAAGAACAAAGGATCGCTGTTGGATCGATACGTGTCGGGTGCCATTAGCGAGTAACAGGTGTCTCTAATGGATGTTTGTAGTCGACATAAACCCACGATGCGTGACCAAAATTTAATTAGGTGGGCCATCATACTGATGGTCAGTGGGTGGAATCAATATTAACTGGACCGTTGTCCAGTGTTTGACAAAAACAAAGGATCACGCGGAAAGCTACTTAATGTACGTCGTAATTACCATAACCCGTCAACCGAGCGGGGGAAACTCGGTGAAGCATAACCAATTTAATTAGGTGGGGCATCATGCTGTAATGGCCCAGCGGCTGCGATCGATATAATACCCATTAAAAACCGCGCAGCGTGTGTCAACAAAGGATCGCTGATCGATAAGTAACAGATGTTACATGTCTGGTTAAATGGATGTTATACAAAGACTAGTACACGGCTAGTGTTAGTCTTTTATTTAAAACATACATACATTCAAACAAACCAACAAATTAAACAACAAAGAAAAGAAATATATCAAAGTAATTAAATTAAACAAAGTAATTAAAATCAAATTACGTAACTAGTTAATAATAATTTAACTAATTATAAAATAAAATAAAATTAAAAATAAACAAAATAAAAATAATTAAAAAGTAAACAAATAATCAAATTACGTAACTCGTTAATAAAAATTACACATAGGTGGACCATCATACTGATGGTCAGTGGGTGCGATCAATATTAACTTGGCCCTTGTACGGTATTTGACAAGAACAAAGGATCGCTGTTGGATCGATACGTGTCGGGTGCCATTAGCGAGTAACAGGTGTCTCTAATGGATGTTTGTAGTCGACATAAACCCACGATGCGTGACCAAAATTTAATTAGGTGGGCCATCATACTGATGGTCAGTGGGTGGAATCAATATTAACTGGACCGTTGTCCAGTGTTTGACAAAAACAAAGGATCACGCGGAAAGCTACTTAATGTACGTCGTAATTACCATAACCCGTCAACCGAGCGGGGGAAACTCGGTGAAGCATAACCAATTTAATTAGGTGGGGCATCATGCTGTAATGGCCCAGCGGCTGCGATCGATATAATACCCATTAAAAACCGCGCAGCGTGTGTCAACAAAGGATCGCTGATCGATAAGTAACAGATGTTACATGTCTGGTTAAATGGATGTTATACAAAGACTAGTACACGGCTAGTGTTAGTCTTTTATTTAAAACATACATACATTCAAACAAACCAACAAATTAAACAACAAAGAAAAGAAATATATCAAAGTAATTAAATTAAACAAAGTAATTAAAATCAAATTACGTAACTAGTTAATAATAATTTAACTAATTATAAAATAAAATAAAATTAAAAATAAACAAAATAAAAATAATTAAAAAGTAAACAAATAATCAAATTACGTAACTCGTTAATAATAATTACACAATATAAACAAAGTAATTAAACAATTTAAATCAAACAAATTAAACAATTACGTAATAAAAACACATTAAAATTACGTAACTAGGTCAAAAAATTAATTAAAATTTAAAAAACTCATTAAAACTCATTAAAAAACGCATTAAAATTACGTAACTAGGTCAATGATGACGTCACAAGGTCAATGATTACGTCACAAGGTCACCAAAAGGTGACTCACCCTTCACTGCTCCGCCAACCCCAGTTGGCGTAGTATTTTACTATATGTCGTTGTACCAGGCTGCGCATCCTGCTCACCCACCCTGCGGCAGCTGGCGTAGTATTTTGCTATATGTCATTGTACCAGGCCCACATCCTGCTCCCGAGTATTTTACTGTATAACCTTTGCGCCTGCGCCTCCCCTGCTCCGCCAAAAAATCGGTCCAAAAGGGACCTAATATACTACTTATATATATATATATATATATATATATATCGGGTGCAGTGGCGTAGCGAGGTCGGGTGTCACCCGGTGCGGCACTTAATGGTGTCACCCCCCCAGAGGCATAGAGACCCTTCCCAGGGACAAACTTTCAAATTTTCGATTTGCACCCCCCCCCCTCAAGTTTTCGATTTGCACCCCCCCTCAAGTTTTCGATTTGCACCCCCCCCCCTCAAACTTTCGATTTGCACCCCCCCCCTCGAGTTTTTCTCTATATATTTTGCTATTTTTTGCCTTGGTGTCACCCCCCTAAATGGTGTCACCCGGTGCGGTCCGCACCCCCCGCCCCCCCCCCCCCTCCGAAAATTTCAAGTGCCCCCCCCCCCCCCCCCCCGAAGAAAAAAGTCTGGAAGAAACACTGCCAAAGACCCACCCATATTATAACCGAATATAACCCCTCCACGTTACGGGCTAAACATGAAATTAAACATTAATACATTCAAAGGTGATATAGATCTTTTGGTTGTTTTTAGGCTTAAAAGCTAGATCATTGTATCCTAAATTTGATTAACTTTAATGTATTTAGTGTTAATAACTAATGTTCAATTAATACGTGTACTAATTATAAAACAATTAATAATATAAGGACGAGCCTTACCTTCCTTGTTGTGTGAATTAGACTCGTCAACAAAATACTTCATCAGGTAAATGAACAACTACTGACTAGTGTCTTTAACAAAATGTGCAGAAGTGGTCAGTTTACAGTTCAGTAGTTCATAGACGGTTCGTTAATCTATGCATTACATCTTATTGTAAGAGTAAGGGTGTGGTGAGGGGTAGAGGTGAGGGGTAGGGGTGAGAGGGGGGTGAGGGGGGAGGGGTGAGAGTTGGGAAGGTTCAAGGGAAGGGGACTAGAAAGTGCCGATAAACATCTACATCAATAGTGCCGACTTTTTCCGGTCGTCTAGAAGACCAGAATAGTCGCCGCAACATTTCCCCAGCCCGATTTCAAAGCGTGCCGGCAAAAACTTCAGATGCTTCGCTAAAGGGAGATAACTTAAACTTTCACAAGTTTATTGATACAGTTGTTAAAGTAAAAATGAACGCAATTATAAATGTATGACATCGAAATAAATAATTATATTTTTTGTAGAGTCCAGGCCAGTAGTTTAAACACACAATCATATATTTATATATATATATATATATATATATATATATATATATATATATATATATATATATATATATATATATATATATATATATATATATATTTAATAATGTAAACAATATAACAATCCTTTTTTGTTCTCCTAATCGACGCCACTAAAAGTAAAAAGGTAGGCTACGTCTTTGAAGTTGTCTATATGTCTGGCTGTCTCTCGAGCTATAGTCTGTGCATTTTTCTCAAAGACGTTTGCCGACTATCGTGTTTTTTTGTAACTGTAGAAGAAAGATAACTCAACCTCCACCTAATTTAAAAAAAAAAAAAATTAATTTAAAATTTTTTTTTTTTTTTTTACATTTTTTTAAAAAAATAATTTAGCCAGGATTTTTGGGCCCCCAATCGGTCTGCCCCCCCCCCCCGCATTGCGGTGTCTGGCGGCACTGTTGTTCCGCCCCTGCGTCTTTGAAGTTGTCTATATGTCTGGCGGTCTCTCGAGCTATATTCTGTACATTTTTTTCAAAGACGTTTGCCGACTATCGTGTTTTTTTTGTAACTGTAGAAGAAAGATAACTCGACCTCCACCTAATTTAAAAAAAAAAAATTTAATTTTTTTTTTGTTTTAATTTTTTTTTTTACAGTTTTTTTAAAATAATTTAGTCGGGATTTTTGGGCCCCCAATCGGTCTGCCCCCCTCCCCCGCATTGCGGTGTCTGGCGGCACTGTAGTTCCGCCCCTGCGTCTTTGAAGTTGTCTATATGTCTGGCGGTCTCTCGAGCTATAGTCTGTACATTTTTTTTTCAAAGACGTTTGCCGACTATCGTGTTTTTTTGTAACTGTAGAAGAAAGATAACTCGACCTCCACCTAATTTAAAAAAAAAAAAATTTAATTTTTTTTTTGTTTTAATTTTTTTTTTTACATTTTTTTTTAAAAAATAATTTAGCCAGGATTTTTGGGCCCCCAATCGGTCTGCCCCCCTCCCCCGCATTGCGGTGTCTGGCGGCACTGTAGTTCCGCCCCTGCGTCTTTGAAGTTGTCTATATGTCTGGCGGTCTCTCGAGCTATAGTCTGTACATTTTTTTTCAAAGACGTTTGCCGACTATCGTGTTTTTTTGTAACTGTAGAAGAAAGATAACTCGACCTCCACCTATTTTTTTTTTTTTTTTTTTTTAAATTTTTTATTTTAAATTTTTTTTTAAAATAATTTAGCCGGGATTTTTGGGCCCCCATTCGGTCTGGGCCCCCCCGCATTGCGGGGTCTGGCGGCACTGTAGTTCCGCCCCTGGATTTGTTAAAATCTCGATTTTTTTTTTTTGCACGATTACAATACTTTCTCTATACTTCGTTTATACGAGAAAGTAAAAATCCGAAATCATACTAAAAATAGTTGTCTTTATACATCACGGAAGAAATCAGCTATAGTATTTTTATGAAGGCTTTTAAAATAAACCAACTGAAGAGTACAACGTGATAATTAGACTATCGCAATTATATTATTTAAGAGTATGTAAGTCTTAATAATAAAAGATTATACTTTAAGAATTTTTAATTCAATCAGTTTAATTATATATAGACCTATATATATATATATATATATATATATATATATATATATATATATATATATATATATATATATATATATATATATATACATACATACACAAAAAACTGTTTTCATTTGTTTAAGAGAATGTCGAGGTGTTACGTAGACAATGAACAAAACAGAAAATTAGGGAGAGTTGGAAAACCAATAGGTACTGCTGTCAATAGAGCTGGGAGCAGTACTTCAAGGTAAGATGGGTTCAGAGGCGTAGAAATGCGGGAGCATTGGGGGCGGGGGTTGGTGGGGGGGGGGGGGGTGAGCGGGGGCTCCCTTTGAGAACAGTTTTAAGACATTGGCTCCTTTTTCGGAGAATTGAAATAAAAAAAACTTATGAAAACAATCACGAATAGTCAGCGATGAATAATTAACATAACGAGGGTGATATCGATGCTCCTGTCTTGTGGTTGGTGCCTAACTTTTGTTGAATGAAGGCGTCTTTTTTTTTAAACAGTGGGCTTTCTTGTTTTCATTAGAAAAGGTCTGATAAACATTTTATTTTCCAGAATGGGAAAATCTTAATCTTTTAATCCGTTGTTTGATCAAGTTTTTAAAAAAGATTCTTTGATTGTTCCACCATTCTTCAGATCTACTGACATCCTGACGCCTCAAATGGGGCAACTAGCATTAAATAATGGCAGGTAAGATCTACTCACCTGTGTATTACTCATACTATATATATATATATATATATATATATATATATATATATATATATATATATATATATATATATATATATATATATATATATATATATATATATTGTGTGTTTTTAATTTTAGTAAGAAGAAAATATGAAAGGGCAATAACTGTAACAATAAACTTATTAACTTGCTTCCCATCGTTCTGTAAAATGTTATTTTATAGAGGTCTTGTCAGCTTTGTTGTATTGAAATTAAAAATTGAAAGCAATAATGATGTTCTCCATATCAATTCATCATCATCATTCCCTTGAAACCCATCGCGGAGCATATTTTAACGCAACCACACGTCTCCGTCGTACTCGGTTCTGGGAGATTCCTCCAAGTTGCGTCCACGACATTCCGGGTGCTTCTGCTTCACTGACAACTGCCCTTTTCCAAGTTAATTTACCATGTTAGAGAAACAAAGGCGGGTGGGCATAGCGCAGGCCACACTATCTCCTTGTATGCCGAGGTCGTTGAAGCAGATGAACTCCACTTTATCTGTCGTGGTGATGATGGTGATGACACTTACATATTGCACGTGAAAAATTTTTTTTCTGAAAAAAGTTGAAGCCGTTTCACAAATGATACCTAACCCACATCTAACTTAATCTACGCAGCTGGCAAAACTGTATCTACCTTAAATCTATTTTCGATGTGTTTTGTGTTAAGTTCGACTTCCAATAAACGATACCAAAACATTTATACATAATTAAATAGGAATAAAGATCAATGCAATAATAAGTGACCTAACGTATTTTAATAAAGAAATACAGTTGAGTAAAATAATAAGGAAAACAATTTACTTGATTACAGCAGCAATGTGTACAAAGATAACGCCTTGAATCGAAAGCTTGGACGTGTTGGTCTGCCACTTGGATCAATGTCACAATCCTCACAAGGCGCTACAGCTGCTACATCTAAAACGTGGGATATGTTAAGCCTCACTGCATTATTGATTCTCCTTCTTCTTCTTAGCCCTTTTCAACTCCCAGTGAAGTGGGAACAGGGCATTACCCCCGTGTTAATTACCCCCTGGCCCAGTAGGAAATTACCCCTCCCCCGGTCATAGCTTAGGGTCAGAGCTAGGGTTTGGGCTAGGTCTAGGTCTAGGGTTAGGGCTAGGGCTAGGGCTAGGGCTAGGGCTAGGGCTAGGGCTAGGGCTAGGGCTAGGGCTAGGGCTAGGGTTAGGGCTAGGGCTAGGGCTAGGGCTAGGGCTAGGGCTAGGGCTAGGGCTAGGGCTAGGGCTAGGGCTAGGGCTAGGGCTAGGGCTAGGGCTAGGGCTAGGGCTAGGGCTAGGGCTAGGGCTAGGGCTAGGGCTAGGGCTAGGGCTAGGGCTAGGGCTAGGGCTAGGGCTAGGGCTAGGGCTAGGGCTAGGGCTAGGGCTAGGGCTAGGGCTAGGGCTAGGGCTAGGGCTAGGGCTAGGGCTAGGGCTAGGGTTAGGGTTAGGGTTAGGGTTAGGGTTAGGGTTAGGGTTAGGGTTAGGGTTAGGGTTAGGGTTAGGGTTAGGGTTAGGGTTAGGGTTAGGGTTAGGGTTAGGGTTAGGGCTAGGGTTAGTATCAGGGTTAGGCTTAAATCAATGTCTAGAGTTTGGTTTGGTTTTGGATTAATTTTAAGGGTGAGGTGAATACTTACGTTTTTCGTCTTTGTCTTAAGGTTAGGATTAAGGTAATATACAGGTATAGAGTTGGAGTTAGAATCAGGATTCTATCTTGCTGGATGGGTGGGGGTGGTATTTGACAGGGGGGTAATTGACAGGGTGTAATTGATCCCGGGGGGGGGGGGATACGGGGGATGTCCGGGGGGGGGGGGGGGGTAATGTCCTGTAGCCCAGTGAAGTATATGCCAATTACAGCACTCTTTATTGTTTTTCTATTATTAGCAATTTTTTCCACTTCTTTTCAACTCTCTCCCATCATGTGTACGTTTTTCTCTGCGCCTGATGTTATTGAGTGCTAGTAAAAAAACTATAAAAAAAAAAAAACCTTAAAATTTCCATACATGTTTAACAAAAAAGATAAATATTTTTATAATTTAAAATTAACATATTTATGTAGGCCTATATAACAGACTAAAGTAATATATTTCACTTAATGGTTGGAATTTTGTATTTATTTAGCAAAACCAGCAGTTCAGCCAGCTCCTCTGGGAAAGTGTATGCAGACAATGACTACAACAGAAAGCACAACAGAGTTGGTAAACCACTAGGTAGTGTGCCAATACCAGCCAACACCCAAGTGTACAAGGACACACCTTTGAACCGCTCCTTGGGTAGGGTTGGAAAACCGTGGGGAACCTATGCAAACAAGAAAGGGCCACATGCAGATTTGCTACAAAAGTTGATGTATATGAAAGAGGTAAATTGAGATAATTTGTTTGTGTTATGAGCGTAGGACAGGTGTGGGTATGCGGGAAGAAAGTTAAAAATAACACACTTCATTAGGGATGTGGGCGTGTGGATTTTGTGGAGCGTTTTCACATCTTAGGGTGAACATGATGCAGAATGTCGTGTTCATTGGTCATTTTTATTGCAGATAGTTAAGTAAACTCGATGTTAGGTTTTATTTCTGACAACTGTAAAAAGTATAGCAGCTAGTTTAGTGAAATACTCAATTAGATTGATGTAATTTACTAGTTTAAATGACAAATTCTAATACACACATATACACAAACACTCGAACATGCACACGACAACGCAACACACACACACACACACACATACACACCCATTTTAATACGTGAATACAAACACACATTCTCATATTTTACAGGGCGACGATTTTCCCGAGGGCGTTGAGGAAATTTATGAAAAAAATAAACTTGCTAAAGATTTCATCAACAACTACTTGGATCTGATAAAGAGAGAGAAAACGGTCAGAGAATGGCTGGAGCAAAAAGGAACAGGGTGGAAGGCTCAGTCTCATTTATCTCTGCAAACCCTTGAAAAATACAAGGGTAACGTCATCCCTTTTGAGGAGTTTGAGTTAATTTCACAGATAGGGAGCGGGGGGTTTGGGGTAGTTCACATGGCGGAATGGAAAGATGGAGAGATCGTAGCCGTGAAGAAGCTGAACGTAGAACGAGTGTCTGAAAAGAGAAGAAAACAGTTTGAAGATGAGATTGCACTGTTTTGTACCTTGCAGCATCCAAATATTGTTGGGTTTTTGGGAGCCTGTGTGGTGAGCCCCAATCTGGCCATTGTCATGGAATACATGGATTTGAGCCTTCATGAAGCTCTGCATATGAAAAAAGTGAGTTCCTTGTAGAAAACCTTAGTATGTCTTTCTTTTTTATTTTAAAGTACAGTATTGAAAAACGCTTGAAACAGCACACGTTCTGCTTGGTATTAAGTTAATGGGTAAACTATATGTGGTGAATTGAAGTCAAATGATAAGAAATTGTCACATAACACTTTTCCATTTTGGGTAATGTTTTTGGATGCATAATTTATAGGCATTTTTTTCTTTACTGCATTACTTTTTTTTAAAACTGGTAATCGAAACTTGTGTAGTTTTAAAAATAAAAAAAATATTACGATTGGTGGAGAGCAATGTGGGGATGATTGCTTAAAATCTTCTTGTTTTAATTGTGATTAACCATTTTGCTTTTTGACTAAATATTCAACTCCATAGTCTATTTAAAAAAAAAGACAGCTTCTGTGACCATTTTAATCACAGGCTTCGAAGCGAACCATCAATGTCTTTCAAAATCAATTTATCATGGGAGAAGTGTCCACTTTATATCGAAACTCACTCCACTGTAAACAGAACGCGTCGTGGCTATTCGTTCAGTCATTGTATCTGATTAATACTCATTTATTCGTTGATTCCCCCAATTCTTCTCTATAATCTAGCCTAAAAAAACGTATTAAACTATGTTAATCAACATTGCTTGAATGATTTTTTTTCGAAGGTTCATTAATATGTTAATATTGTAATTCATCTTATATTTTTTATATCTCCACAACTTATACAAATCTGTAATTGGTTTCATTGATAAACTGTTAAACTAATTTCAACGTTTTTCAGGTGGAATTTGATGATAAAGAAAAACTAAGTATAATGAGAGATGTAGCACAAGGCATTGATTATTTACATGAGAAGAGCATCGCTCATTGTGACCTGAAAACACAAAATGTTCTTCTCAAAAATGTTCCTGGTCAAGAAATAACGGACCCACAAGAAATGGTTATTGCAAAATTAACAGATTTCGGTCTAAGTATGATGAAAAAGGAAATGGGATCCGGCGCTTCTGCTGGCACCGCTGTGAGTAACATTGGAACACCAAGATATTCAGCACCAGAGGTTCTCCGGGGTGAATTGTTGAATGTGGAGCAGCTGATGAAAGCTGATGTTTACTCTGAAGGTCTACTCATCTTAGAGCTGGTGGTTGAGGAAATAGCTTTTGAAGATTTGACCATACAACAGCTGAGGGTCCAAGTTGGGGAGAAAAATTTGAAGCCTGACATTCCCAGAGGTCTGACACTAGACAAGCAACTGAAGGAGATGTTGGAGAAATGTTGGAGCAGCAAAGCAGATGACAGACCATCATCACATTCTGTCTGCCTGATGGTTGATAATATTAATAACCTTATCATTGAGAAGTGAATAATGGCGAATACATATTTCTGTGTAACCCCCAGTGGGTACAATTTTTGTCAAGCTTCTATCATTTACTCTATGCTATTAATGCCTAACATTTCCATATTTAAACAAAAACACTAGTATACTTTCAAGAAGCTCAAAAAAATAAAATAAATAAATAAATAAAAAAATTAGCTAATTAGAACTTTTACCAGTTTTTGTAAGTTTGCACATTTTACTTGTTAAGTAATTATAAAACAATGAATTTGACAAAAGTAATTTCCTTTGCCAATGCATTCAAAATTTGTATTAAAAGCAAAGTCGAAAAGCATCATTTTAAAACTATTTTATGCTGTAAAGGAAGAACGATCTGTGTGTTAAAATGATTTTATTATTTTAGACGTGTAGGTACACAATTGTTGTTTTATGCCTTTACCTAACATGGCTTACAAACTGCATTTTATTCTTTTATATCTGTCAGTAATATTATTATGTAATAATAAAAATTTTACAAAATATACAAGGGGCTAAGATTGTCCAGTTCACGCGTTGTTGTGATGTTATTTGCTAAATTGTGTGCATAATGCGTTGGTATCGTCTGGATACTATACAGAGTCAAATACCAAATACTCATACTTTCGAGTTAAAACCACTTGCATTTTTAGCGCAATTTCCATTCTGGAGAATTGCGTTTATTAACCCGTCATTTCTGGATGTATGAATGAATGGATGGATGGATGGATGGATGGATGTGTGTCCGCAGCTTTAAGTCGTATCTCCTCCTCAACGAAGCAATATCGATGACTAGTTCCAAAAGCAATTATGTTAAGCAAATTACGAGGATGAACATAGGCCATAAAAATTACGGGTTTCTTTCATGGATTTCCCGGAAAAGCCAAAAAACCTCGGAAAAAAGCAGTTTTTTGCCCATATCTCGGCAACCAGACCACTTAGCAACTTGAAACATGTACCAATCGATTCCTGCCATAATTTAGAACAATATTGCCAAAGAAAGTTTTCAAAAATATCCTTTCGTTCGGTCACAAATTTTTTTTGAATTAATTAAAATTTGGACCGAATTAGTAAGCATATTTATCCAACCACACCACACGCGTCATCACGTTCAATAGCTGAGCCATCACGTTCAATGGCTCCGTCATCACATTCAGTAGGCGCGCAATGGTTTTTAGTCATGTAACTCTATTGTAAATAAAACATGTAAAATACTGAAAAAAAAATTAATAAAAAAGGTTTTAATAACTAACCAATGGTTTTACTAACCCTGCTCTTTTCGCTACGACAGAGCTATTTTTAGATAACATAAGGAAATTGCGCTTAAATGTCACTAGACTTTTTAATTAACTTGTTTTCATATATTGTTTTAAATTTGCACCAATATCACGAATATTACGCCCCTATTTTATTGTACTTTATTTTAAAAATATTATTGAATTTTTTTTTTTGAATTTTCAATCTGACTTCCATACAACTATACAACCCAACCTGTAGTACTGTCGAAAGGACACATATCGTAGATAAAGTCAAAATGCAACATTAGATATACTATTCAAATTAGTGATAATCAGAATTATAGGTAATAAATGTACATTGATCTAGTTGTTTCCATTTTATGTGAAGATTTCATATTCTATTCTATTACTGTATTTGGTGAATTTTTCTTGATGTTGGGATATTTATTTCTCATGTAATAAAATAATGAAATAGAAGTTATCATCTTTCCTGATTTCTGCTCTTCTTCATGCTTATGTTAATATTGAGTGCGTCTCTGACTGCAAAAAGAATCAGACAATCATCAAACGAAGGTAGAAATATATGGACTATATTTCAGACCTGACGGGGAATTTTGTTGGGTCTAGAAAATTTCCAAACATTGTAGATTGACAACCGTGGACAACAGATTGAACCGAGAAGTTACACTAGGTCTAGCTTACTACGGATCTCATTGCATGTACTTCAAGAACCACATCACTCTTTGAGAGCTATCTCCACCAACCACACACGTTTTTAATCATAAATGGTTTGCTGTCCCCAGTTAACGTCATTTTTCTACTCTAGAGTGGTTACTACCCCTTGCTAACATCAGTTTTCTACCCTAATTGAGTTACTGCCCCTTGCTAACATCAGTTTTCTACCCTAATTGAGTTACTGCCCCTTGCTAACATCAGTTTTCTACCCTAAATGGGCTACTGAACCTTGCTAACGTCAGTTTTCTATCCTAGAAGGGTTGCTATCCCTTACAGTTTTCTACCCTAAATGGGTTGCTGCCCTTTGCTAACGTCAGTTTTCTATTTTATTTCTAACCTATATGCGTTGCTGTCCTAGTTGGCGAGTCATATCTGATCGTTAATCCGGAAACCATAGAAACTCCAGTCAAGTGCACTTAAGAACTGGACCTCGAATTCCCCTACTATAGCTTTTGAAATATGTGACACACTCAATATTACTGTCAGAATTACCGTTGGGCTGTTGTGAGTAAAAAAAAAATCTTTGGAAAACGCAGAAGTACATCTACAACCGAAAGACTTTATAATTGAATATTTTTACATGTTATAATAAATATAACATGTAATTATATATATATGACTATATATATATATGACTATATATATATATATATATATATATATATATATATATATGACTATATATATATATATATATATATATATAAAATTATATATATATATATATATATATATATATATATATATATGAAGAGTTGATTTTCAAAACGCGATAAGCGCCATTTTTGAAAAAAATGAGATAATGTGCCCATATTGTAAAGCTACTCAGTTACTATTAGGAAAACTTAATTTTAATCTTCACGGCGCAAAATTTTCATTTTATTTCTATTTTGTAGCTTAACAAAAGCTGGATATACCTCATTTTGCAACGAAACGCAAATTTTGGGACAAAAAAAAAGCATCTTTTTATGCAGGTACATTTCAAAAACCATTCTAGTCCTATTTATATGAGGGTTATGAACCTAAAAACAAGCTGTACTCTTCAAATTAAAGTCTCTCGTTAGAGATTTGCATCATTTTTGAAAAATGTTCAAATAACTGAAATTACTCACTAAAAACACTTTAAAGTAACAGAAAAACATGGTACAATTGTAGTGAGATGATAACACTGGGAATATAAGTGGGTCTTAATAAAATAATAAACTAAAATATTGGACATCAGATGTATTTTCAGAAAAAAAATGGATATACTGCGTTTTGTAGCTTAACAAAAGCTGGATATACCTCATTTTGCAACGAAACGCAAATTTTGGGACCAAAAAAAGCATCTTTTTATGCAGGTACATTTCAAAAACCATTCTAGTCCTATGTATATGAGGGTTATGAACCTAAATTGACAAACAGTTTTAGCATATTGTACAATGGCTTCGTGTAGGAGAAAAGTGCGATTTTCTCGAAACCCAAATTTTGGATATATTGCATTTTGAAAATCAACTCTTCATATATATATATATATATATATATATATATATATATATATATGTATATATATATATATATATATATATATATATATATATATATATATATATATATATATATATATATATATATATAAAATTATACAGGTGAAGGTGGGGCTAAAAGTGGTGCGTATATGTGCACCAGTCTATTCCCATGACCCAGAAAGCTGACAACGCCTCCACCAGCCCCTACCCCCTTAACCCAGTCGGTGTCTAACCTCATGTTTGATGGCCCCATGTTTGTAGCCACGACTTGCCTGTTACTGTCAAGAGCCATTCATTTCCCCGTCTAAGTAGCATCACGATTCCATTCAACGCCTACTATTAAAACCATCAATGTTTCTTTCAGAAATACCAGCAGAGCACGTCCATCCCCCCCCCCCCCCCTAAAAAAACAAACAAACAACGAATTGAAAAAAAATCATATAATGTATATAGAAAATACTTTACCCAGTGTTCGCACCCTCCCTCCCCCCACCCTCTCTCTCAAAGTGCTCCTTCCCACGTCACCCGGGAAGAAAAAGTTTTCTTCACTTCTGCTTGCAGTATAAAATGTTAGGTCACGACTTTCATCCCCCTCTTCGCCGTTCCGCCCCCCCCCCCCCACCACACACACGTATATAGCTACCACATTACCCCTCAAGCCCTACCTCCCCCAGCACTTATCCCCGAAAGTATGTCAACAAACTGTTCTAACAGTTGGTGATTATTAAAATCATACTGCGGTCTGGTTGTTTCATTTTCGATAAGCCTAGATCTGCATCAGTGTCATTCCAGGAATGTTTATTTTTAGCAACGGGAACTTTTTAAAAATGAAAGCATAGAAATAACATTAGTAAAACGCCGTACATATTTCTTAAATCTAGACTTATTCCCTGTGAGTTATAATAAACCCAAGGGGTACTTTTATAGATTATTGTACAAAACAATTTAAAAAGTAAGATTTATATGTGTTGTGAGTAAAAAGTCTACGTATTAAAAAGGTGGGTATGAGAATTAATTAGTAAATTGTAGATTATAATATTAATAGGCCTAGTCACAAAGTAGTTTCAATTTCATTTATTATGTATCGCAACATTAAATAAATTGTATTAAATTGTTGTTATTACAAATATATTCTAAAAATATTTTCAGTTATTTATTGTAGGCCAACTAATAAAAGATTTAGATCTACTACTCTAGGCCATAGGCTAAATTGATTATTTTTTTATTTATCAGAAAGCATTACAATCTAGACGTACTAGATCATCTAAAATCTAGATAATAGCCTTTTAAGTTATAAAATAAATTAGTAGCATATTGTTGAAAATACTGCTAAATATTATGAAGACTTAGTTCAAGTCCGTCCTCCCCTCCGTCACACATCGTCACACCCCCCCCCCTAAAATGACGTCACACCTCAGCCTACGACCCCCCCCCCTCAAAATTGCAGTTGAATTTTTCTAAAAACATCGATATTTTTTCCAAAAATCTTGTCTGAACTCTGCATAGAGTATTTTAATCAATTCCAATTACAATTTATTAAAACAGTTTTCTAAAACGCGAAATAACGGCTAAAACTCGTTTTCTAACATTGCTTTTATACAATGCAAAAGTGTGACGTCACATCATCTTAACCCTCCCCCCACCCCCTCATCATCCCTCATCACACACCGTCACAAAATTACGGACCCCCCTCCCCCCTATGAGTGTGATGTCATCTATGTAGACCCCTTATTTTTTATTATTGCAACGTTAATCTTTTAGTTTTTATAATACATTTTATTGATTTAAATACTATTTCAAACACTTTTATTTAAATGTTTTTGGCCTGATGTAGTTAGGCCTATTTACTAAAGCTTTCATTTGAATTTTTAAGATTTTAAAGTTTTATAGTTCTGTTAAATTAATTAGCTATTAACTTAATTATATGTATATAGGCCAATAATAATTTTTTTATTTATTTCAGAGAATGCCACATAATTACGTGGACAATCCCATGAACAGAAGGCTGGGCAGAGTTGGCCTGCCTAGGGGTTCTGCTGTCCATAGTGCTGGGAGCAGTACTTCAAGGTAAGATTGGTTTTGTTGTGTAGTGCATGGAGCAGTACTTCAAGGTAAGATGGTTTTGTTGTGTAGTGCATGGAGCAGTACTTCAAGGTAAGATGGTTTTGTTTTATATATAGTGATTGGAGCAGTACTTCAAGGTAAGATTGGTTGTATTTTATATATAGTGATTGGAGCAGTACTTCAAGGTAAAATGGTTTAGTTGTGTAGTGCATAAAGCAGTACTTCAAGGTAAGATGGTTTGTTTTATATATAGTGCATGGAGCAGTACTACAATATAATAGGTTTGTGTTATATATAGTGATTGAAGCAGTACTTCAAGGTAAGATAGTTTGTGTTATATATAGTGCTGGGAGCAATATTTCAAGGTAAGATGGTTTGTTTTATATATCGTGCTGGGAGCAGTACTTCAAGGAAAGATGGTTTGTTTTATATATAGTGCTGGGAGCAGTAATTCTAGGTAAGATGGTTTGTTTTATATATATAATAATAAGATTGTTTATATTATATATATAATGCAGAAATAGTACATCAAAGTCAGGTGGCTTTTACTTTTATGTGTCCATATTATCAGGTCTGATAAACATCTTGTAGGTTTAAAATATTATAAGAAATTTCAACACAAGATATTGAGACAGTCCTGACCAACAGAAATCACCCTCCCAAAGGTGTAGGACTGCGATGTAGTGAAGCTAGTTTTAAAGTTGAATTTTCTAAAAAAAATTGTTTTTTAATATAAAACAATCAGAGATGATATGTGGGATTTTTTAAAAATAAATGCATCACCATCCCTTCGGAAGAATCAAGGGAGAAATGTTCTTGTTATTTATTGAGGGAAATTTTGTCTTGTGGGTTTGTAGCATGGGAGATCATTTTCTAGCTGTCAGCATCTTGTAGAGAAATAATTGAGAAATGCTCAGGTCATTACCATGACCAAATAACTACTAATAAAACAAAATATTTAAAAATTCAAACATGTTCCACAATTTTTTTGTTTAGCCGATCAAACTACTATGTAGACATATAACTTATACATGTTCTCCATTTTTTATGTTTAGCCGATCAAACTACTATGTTGACATATAATTTTGACATGTTCCTCACTTTATGCTTAGCAATCAAACTATTATGTTGACATATAACTTTGATATGTTGCACAATTTTTATGTTTAGCCGATCAAACTACTATGTCGACAATTCACTGAACAGAAGTCTAGGGCGGGTAGGCTTGCCACATGGGACTGCTGTACACTCCAGGTATTCTGGCTTTTCCAACCAATTTGTACCCCAAAAATATATGTGTTGGGATGGCGTGGCCTAGTGGTAGACAGCTAGACTGCTTACCAGAGAGCCTCGAGTTTGAATCCAGGTTCAAATCAGGGGAACAAAGGTAGCTGGGCATAGATCTGACCACACTATCCCTTCATATGCCGAGATCTCTGAAGCAGAGTAAATCTACTTCATCTGTCCCATGAGTCTTGGGCATGAACAGGAGATGTTGATGAATGTATGTGTATCTTTATGGTCTTACAAACTTTACCACAAATAATGATTTGTGTTTTTTTTTTGTTGTGGATTTTTAACACACCTTTTAAATGTATAAAACAGTTTTCAAATTTTTATTAGACACCTTATGGTTTTTAAAAACTAGAACATCTCAGTTAAACATTGTATTAATTGTATTTTTTCATTTCGTGTTATCCTAACATTAGACAGATGTTTGTTGACATTATGACACAGATGTTAACAATTTGTTGACATTATTTCACAGATGTTAACATTTTGTTGACATTATTTAACAGATGTTAACATTTTGTTGACATTATTTAATAGATGTTAATATTTTGTTGACATTATGACACAGGCATTAACATTTTGTTGACATTATGACACAGATGTTAACATTATGTTGACATTATGACACAGACGTTAACATTTTGTTGACATTATGACACAGACGTTAACATTTTGTTGACATTATGACACAGATGTTAACATTATGTTGACATTATTTAACAGATGTTAATATTTTGTTGACATTATGACACAGACGTTAACATTTTGTTGACATTATAACTCATATGTTAACAATTTGTTGACATTATGACACAGATGTTAACATTTTGTTGACTTCCTCAGCTCCAGTAGTAGCAGCAGCTCCTATAAAACTTATGTAGATAATCCCTTGAACCAGTCTCTAGGGAGAGTGGGAATGCCCCACGGTACAGCTGTCCATTCCAGGTACATTTTACAAATTTGTTATCTTCATCCTAATCCCGCGTTAACACCTGCAACATGTGTTCTATACATGTCTAGAAAAAATACTTCATCATAACTTAATTTTGTCAGAACATGTATAGAGGGACCTACTCACTAATTGTGAAGTTTTTTTAAAATAGTATACATGTTGCAAGTGTAAAGGCTGTATAACATGTGTGGTAAAAAGGAATTATTTATTTGTGTTATACTAAAAATAATATGAACTTTACTCTTTAGTTATAGCTGTAGAATTATTTTCAAAAACTTGTTAAGTGGTTTTTTTGTAGTGTTAAATATTTTTATTATAAATTTACTAAATATATAACTTTCAGATGCAGTTTGTTAATTTGAATTTTTGCATCTAACTTTCTTGTAATGGATCTGATTTCCACAAACTTTATCATTATATATCCAGTTATTGTTAACTAAAATTTGTCATAGAAAATTATACAATTATAGATGCAAATAAATTTTAAAGTACTGCTTATATTGATAGGGATAAATAATAAATTTTTTTTTAAAGTTTGGTCACTTAAAATATTTTTCATAACTATTTTTTAATTGTTCCATCAATTTCAGATCAATTACAGATCTTTTGTCACTTAAAATATTTTCAATTGTTCCATTAATTACAGATCTTTAATCAGTTAAATTATTTTTCGATTGTTCCATTAATTACAGATCTTTGGTCAGTTAAATTATTTTTCAATTATTTTGTTGATTACAGGTCTGATAACAGCCTTACTTATAGACTGCAGCAACTAACCACAAGTGATCACAGGTATGATATAATCCTAATCCATATAACATGAAAGTCAATAACTGTAACACAGCAATTAGCCCTTCTTTCAATTTTTTAAATGCAATTTTAAAGCAGAGTTATGTATTGATGAATAATGAGTTTAAAAAATAAAATTGGAAATAATGACATTTTATTTTACATTATTTGATATTTGATTTGTTTTTTATGAAAAGTTTTATTATTATTTTTAATAAACAAATTTGATAGACATCTTACCTGTTGCATTGAAATAGAAATTTAATAAAAGAATATTTATAGTTTGAAATATTTGCAAAAAATATATTTATCCTAATCTTAACTTCATCTTTAGCCATGTGTATTTTCTACTTAAAAATCAAAATAGCAATGCATTTTTAAAGTTTCTGGCATAAGTTAGACTGCCGCTAAATTATTAGGGTACTAAAGTATATTTGTATGCATTTACATAAAATCTGTTAGAAATAAAGGTCTCTAAAATTAGCAGTGATTTTGTTTATTTGTCTACAGCAGCAAGGTGTATAAAGACAACAAATTGAACAGAAAACTTGGACGTGTTGGAATGCCACTTGGATCAATGCCACAATCCTCACAAAGTGCTAGAGCAACTACCCCAAAAACGTAGGATATTTTAAACAAAATTATATATTTATAACTTGTATTAATTTTATGACAGTATTAGAATAAACAAAAAATCAATTAAAATCTAAATCTGCAAAGAAAAGTTAAAATATTAATGAAGACTAAAAATTTGAACATATAATTAAATTTACTACTCTTTTACTATTTTGTTTACAATTTAGAAGTTTATAATCTTTTTAAATAAAAAATTAATTATAAAATTAAGACAATTAACAAATTTCACGTAGATATAATCTTTAATCTGTTTAGTACCAGTAGCCATTCAGCCAGCTCCTCTGGGAAAGTGTATGTAGACAACTACTACAACAGAAAGCATAACAGAGTTGGTAAACCGCTAGGCAGTGTGCCAATACCAGCCAACACCCAAAAGTACAAGGACACGCCTTTGAACCGCTCCTTGGGTAGGGTTGGGAAGCCGTGGGGAACTTGTCCAAATAAGAAATGGCCACATGCAGATTTGCTACAAAAGTTGATGTATATGCAAGAGGTGAGTTAAAATGTTGTAAACATCTAAGGGCTAACAGAATGATTGAAACTGAGTGTTTGTTTAATTGTTTTTTTCAATTGCAGATATATATATATATATATATATATATATATATATATATATATATATATATATATATATATATATATATATATATATATATATATATATATATATATATATATATATATATATATATATATATTTTATATTATATATATATATATATATATATATATATATATATATATATATATATATATATATATATATATATATATATATATATATATATATATATATATATATATATATATATATATATATATATATATATATATATATATATATATATATATATATATATATATATATATATATATTATATATTATATATTATATATATATATATATATATATATATATATATATATATATATATATATATATATATCAATGTAAACATGCAAGTTGAGATGTACTTATACACATAGCTGTTTACAAAATTATCTATTTAAATTTATCTTATGAAATAAACAAGATTAAGTATCGTAATTTTAAATATTGTTATCGCAGTTAGTTGAGTTACATATCAAAGTGAATTTACATCAATTAATTTTTTTTTCATTTTCTTATATATAAGCATGTACACATACACCAATATATATATACTTGTACACTAGCATATGTTAAAATAATTTACAGGGTGAAGATTTTCCTGATGAGATTGAGGAAATTTATGAAACAAACGAAGTCGCTGAAGATTTTATCAACCACTTCATGGACCTGGTCAATCGGGAAAAAACCATCAGAGGATGGCTGGAGCAAAAGGGAACAGGGTGGAAGGCTCAGTCTCATTTGTCTCTGCAAACTATTGAAAAATACAAGGGCAACGTCATCCCTTTTGAGGAGCTTGAGTTAAAAAAAAAGATAGGTCACGGAGGATTTGGGGACGTTCATCTCGCGGAATGGAAGGGTGGGGAAGCTGTAGCGGTGAAGAAACTGAGAGTGGAGCGGGTGTCACAAAAGAGGCGCCAACAGTTTGAAGATGAGATTGCACTGTTTTGTACCTTGCAGCATCCAAATATTGTTGGGTTTTTGGGAGCCTGTGTGGTGAGTCCCAATCTGGCCATTGTCATGGAGTACATGGATATGAGCCTTTATGAAGCCCTGCATGTAAAACAGGTGAGTTTTTTTTTAATAGTGGACATCCATGTAATACTTTTTAATGTTTAAGTATTGTATATTATTTGTTAAGCTCATGATAAATCCTACTTTTGTATTATTCAATAGTTACTATAGGTAACAATGGTAATTTAGCTACTGCTTGTGAATGGGATTTTAAGGTTCAGTAAGAGGGGCTAACACTTTTATTTTTTTTTTTAATTTTAGCAGTAAAAAATTCAACTTAATTTTATTAAAGAAAAAAAATTCCTCAGCATTTTATATTAATTTGTAATAAACAACACCCTTTTAAAATTATGCTGCTTTTGTTGACATTTTTTATTATGAATCATGACCTATGGCAGTCAACTAATTGTAGCCAAGGTGGCCATTGAATATAGATCCCTATCTCAGTGTTACTAATTTATGCAGTAGCAGCTATTAATCAACTAATTATTAATTTATAAAATAAAGAAAATCTTATTAGATCCATTCATAGGTTGATCCCTCCTATTTTTCTTTCTAACATAGATGGCTTTAAAATTTATTTTAATTTTCTGATCAGTGTAGTTTGATTCTTTAATGTATTATGTAATTTATATTAATTTTTAAAATTGTAATGTATCTTAAATTACATGTGAACAGCTTATATTGCTTCTTCACTCTCTACAATACTTTTTAATAATTTCTTCTAGGTGGATTTTGCAGACCACGATAAACTAAATATAATGAGAAATGTATCACAAGGCATAGATTATTTACATGAGAAGAGCATCGCTCATTGTGACCTGAAAACACAAAATGTTCTTCTCAACAATGTTCCTGGCCAAGATTTAACGGACTCACAAGAAGTGGTCATTGCAAAAATAACAGATTTTGGTCTAAGTATGATGAAAAATGACATGGAGTCAAGTGCTTCTGCTGGCACAGCTGTGAGTAACATTGGAACACCAAGATATTCAGCACCAGAGGTTCTCCGGGGTGAATTGTTGAATGTGGAGCAGCTGATGAAAGCTGATGTTTACTCTGAAGGTCTACTCATCTTGGAGCTGGTGGTTGAGGAAATAGCTTTTGAAGATTTGACCATACAACAGCTGAGGGTCCAAGTTGGGGAGAAAAATTTGAAGCCTGACATTCCGAGACGTCTGACGCTGGACAAGCAACTGAAGAAGATGTTGGAGAAATGTTGGAGCAGCAAACCAGATGACAGACCATCATCACATTCTGTCTGCCTGATGGTTAATACTATTAATAACCTTATCATTGGTGAGGAGAGAAGTGAATAAATTCAGATTAGTGCAATGGTGTTGCTCAGAATGGGTAATGTTAAAAGGGAAATATTTTTCTCAATTTTATATTTTTGGTTGCCAATACATCCTTGAGTCTGACCAGTAGCGTACGCAGGGGGGGAGCAGGGGGAGCGGCCGCTCCCCCTCTGGCCAATTTCAGCAAAGTGGCGCCTTTTTGGAAACTTTTTAAATTCAAAGTTTTAAACAATGATATTTGTTAAAAAAAATATTTTTGGTCGGCACATCTATGTAAATCACAAGATTTCTTTTCATGCAGCAATTAAGCATTATTGTTTACAGCAGCTGCATCAGTTTGCCATTCTAAAAATAACCATTACGATGCATTGCAATGTTTAAAAAACCTCTACGGTAGTACCACTTGGCAAGAGGGGTGTAAAGTTTAAGGCAACTGTGTAATGTATTTTCTAACGAATAATTGAATTAGAAAATGTTATACATAAAACTTCACACATAATTACTTTATATATATACAGTTAGAATCGTGTGATTAATTTAAAAAAATTACAATACAGAAACAAATACAACTGATGTGGCATCTCTATTTAAATTTACTTATGAGCAAACTGCGTAGTGGTGGTGAAATTTTGACAAGGTCAACAGCGTCATCACGATGAAGTAGTTGTATTCTTACAGTTTGGGCGATAGTGATTACGATTACAAATTATATGAAACAGTTACAACCCCCCTCCCCATGGACCCCTCTGTAAAAAAATATTGCCATAATACCACTGCTACTTATTTAAATCTATTTCTGTAATATATATTTGTGTAGTATATCTTTGTGTAATATATATGTATGTTTAGAACAGTCATCTAAAAACTGACGCTATGTTCACTCTGAGTTGGTTATCTCCCCCCCCCCACACACCTCACAACCACAATTGTGTAGAGCGACATCAATGTCACACCTAGGTATACACTGGGTTGGATAATTGACCTAAAGTGAACAGACAGTGGTGAATGAAGTTGAACTCTGTGAATATTGAATTTGCAATTACCAGTAACAAGGTGTGTGAGCAATACAGTGATCTAACCCATACCTATCACTATTAAAAAAAATGATCTTTAAAGAACACAAAGTAGTTAATTATAATATATAATCTGAACTCAAAGACCGATATTTAGTTAAATGTAGGCTGTTATTCCGTATGTTGTTATATTATATCGAAAAGCGTGGTTTTATACCACCTCTGATTTTAAAAACTTTCATTATGCTGTAATACTTTAACATTTATGATGACGATATATTAAATTCTGATTATAGACAAAAACATATATATATATATATATATATATATATATATATATATATATATATATATATATTCACGTATATAGAACGTGTTAAAAATTCGGCGCCTTTTTTTTGCTCTTTTCGCTCCCCCTACAACGAAAACCTGGATACGCCTCTGAGTCTGACATTGCATCTGATTACAAATAAATGTCCTCTCTTTTATCTGAATTAATACTTACACAAAAATCTCATTACAAATCCCTGTATTCACTCACACAAATCTCATAACAAATCACTGTCTTCACCTACATAAATCTCATAACAAATCACTGTCTTCACCTACATAAATCTCATAACAAATCACTGTCTTCACCTACATAAATCTCATAACAAATCACTGTCTTCACCTACATAAATCTCATAACAAATCACTGTCTTCACTCACATAAATCTCATTAAAAATCTCTGTCTACTCTTTTAGCTGAGCATTGGGATACAAATCTCTGACATTCTCATTTTTTAGACTAATAATCCTCAAATAAATTGTAAAAACTTGTCATTTTATAATGCCTTTTGAAACATAATTAAATGTAAAATTAGATTATGTGTATATTATGAAGAACAATTTGTATCTTACTCAAGCATAATTAACCTATATCTTTTATATGATGTTTGTATTTCTATGATTGTGAAATATGTCTGTTGTATATCTGTAAATGGGTATCAGTATTTCTGTTTGCAATCAGTTTTTTGTTATTTTGTTTTTACAAATTAAATTTTGCATTTCAATTTATTAATAGGAATTTAAAGGTTCTTATTAGCATTATGAAAAAGTTTGTCCATTTACAACAATTTTAGATAAACTCTTTTGAGTTTAAGTTTTTAATTGTACATTTTGAATCTTGTCAGTTTTATTAAGTGAGTAAATTCAGTAAATTTAGTAAATCAAATATCTTGATATCTGATTGTTTATTCTACACTGTAAATTACAAATTAAAATTAAAATGAATTGACTAATAAGCAACAAAAGAAAAAACAAAGAACAGCAAATAACAATTTTTTTTTAAACTTGAATATTTTTGTTTTTAAATTTTTCATACTTTCATAACATATTGAATTAGGGAAAAATTTTTTTTCTTGACCCCATTACTTTCTTTTTTACAAGTTTTATTTAAAAAGACAATTTAAATAATTTTCTTTGGAAAAGGGGAATTTGTGTATTGATAGATTAAAACAAAATGTTGATGGATAGGCCTATAACATAAAGTTCACTTTAAACTTGTTATTTTATTAGTGTTCCTTACTACATTTTATAATGTTATATCTTTTAATAATAATTATGTTACATACATAAATGAACCCTATTTGTTTTGTTTGTAATATTGAAACAATTTTTTTTTTGTAATATATATATATATATATATATATATATATATATATATATATATATATATATATATATATATATATATATATATATATATATATATATATATATATATATATATATATATATATATATATTTATATATATATATATAGGCCCCTATATATAATACATAAATATAGATATATATAAATATAATTCATAAATATATATTTATATTATATCTACAAATATATATGTGTTCAAATTATTTATTGTTATCTCAATTTTTGTTTGGACTGCAAGGACTTCTACTTATTATGTTAAGTTCTGGAATGAGCACAAAAGTTGATGTTACCATGAAAAAATTAAAAACCACGTCCAGATCTTTTAGCCATGTCCAGATCTTTTAGCCTAGTCCAGATCTTTTAGCCAAGTCCAGATCTTTTAGCCACGTCCAGATCTTTTAGCCACGTCCAGATCTTTTAGTCACGTCCAGATCTTTTAGTCACGTCCAGATCTTTTAGCCACGTCCAGATCTTTTAGCCATGTCCAGATCGTTTAGCCACGTCCAGATCTTTAAGCCATGTCCAGATCTTTTAGCCACGTCCAGATCTTTTAGCCACGTCCAGATCTTTTAGTCACGTCCAGATCTTTTAGCCACGTCCAGATCTTTTAGCCACGTCCAGATCTTTTAGCCACGTCCAGATCTTTTAGCCACGTCCAGATCTTTTAGCCACGTCCAGATCTTTTAGCCACGTCCAGATCTTTTAGTCACGTCCAGATCTTTTAGCCACGTCCAGATCTCTTAGCCACGTCCAGATCTTTTAGCCACGTCCAGATCTTTTAGTCACGCCCAGATCTTTTAGCCACGTCCAGATCTTTTAGCCACGTCCAGATCTTTTAGCCACATCCAGATCTTTTAGCCATGTCCAGATCTTTAAGCCATGTCCAGATCTTTAAGCCATGTCCAGATCTTTAAGCCATGTCCAGATCTTTTAGCCACGTCCAGATCTTTTAGCCACGTCCAGATCTTTTAGCCACGTCCAGATGTTTTAGCCATGTTCAGATCGTTTAGCCACGTCCAGATCTTTAAGCCATGTCCAGATCTTTAAGCCATGTCCAGATCTTTAAGCCATGTCCAGATCTTTAAGCCATGTCCAGATCTTTAAGCCATGTCCAGATCTTTTAGCCACGTCCAGATCGTTTAGCCACGTCCAGATATTTTAGCAACGTCCAGATCTTTTAGCAACGTCCAGATCTTTTAGCCACGTCCATATCTTTTAGCCACGTCCTGAACTTTTAGCCACGTCCAGATCTTTTACTGACTTCATATATGGACGACGCCTTCGACCAGTGTTTCCTTCAGAATTTTTTCCTGGGGGGGGAGCTTTGAAATTTTCTGGTGGTGCTTGGAGGGTGGACACTGGTAAAAGTATATAATTTCTATATAAATTATATTTCGTTCGGGGGGCAGTAGACATTTTTCGAGGGGGTGGGGTGGAGCTCCCCGAAGAGATGTCAGAAACTGCCTTCGACTATTAAAGGGATGGTTTATGCTTTTACGTTTAGCAGACTAAAAAGTATCGGCATCCTGTATCAGCTGTTTGTACCAAACTACCCAATATAGAGTAGTTTGAACAACCGCGCGAGAATTTAGGGGGGGGGGGGTCTGGCATCCCTGTGGTGCCGTGGATTCTATGTTGCTTGCCCATGCCATCAAACCAGGACCGGCGCTACCTAAAAGGCGAACTAGAAGGTTCGCCTGGAAAAACAAATTGAAAGTTTGAGGGGGATTGCAAAGTTTTAAGGGTGCCGGGAAGGGTCGCTACGCGTCTGATAATACGGGGACACAAAAATAATTGCGGGGGGGGGGGGGCGTTTTAATACATTTGGCCTAGGGCAGGGGTCGGCAACCTGCGGCTCTTTTGATATCAAGATGCGGCTCTCCAGCTCCTTGAACAATTACTAATACTTTGAAAATTGTAACTTTTGGCTCTTCCGCCTCAAAAGGTTGCCGACCCCTGGCCTAGGGCGATAAATAACCTGGCGCCGGCACCGCATCAAACACACTCTGACAGACCGCACGCCATGATGTGAACATGTGACAATGTTCTCTGGAACTTCCCTTTTTTCGATCTGAAGTGTTAAGTTGTAAGGGATCGACTCCAACACAATCAAGTATTACGTCTGGACTGGTTCTGCGCGCTTGACCCCGACGTCAGATTGTTTTTTTTTTCTCTTTTAACTTGCTTCCATAGCCTTTATTAACCATCGAGCCTCATCTGCCTAGGGATTCCACCTCGGGAATTTACTGTTAAACCAGTGTTTCTTCCAGACTTTTTTCTCCGGGTGGGGGGCACTTGAAATTTTTTTTTGGGGGGGGGGGGGGGCGGTAGACTTTTATCAGGGGGGGGGGGACACTGTTAAATGTTTATATTTTCTATAAAAATTCCATTTCGATCGACGGGGGGGACGGGGGTGGTAGAGTTTTTTCGGGGGCGGGGGGGGGGGGGGGGAGCTCCAACCCCCCCCCCCCCCACCCCCGAAGAGATACCTGGAAGAAACTCTGCTGTTAAACAACCATGAGCTTTACCGACCCAACAACGTTCCCCCCCTACCCCCCCTCCCCCCCCGTCCGTCTCTGCAACTGAAGGCTACGATTCCAGATTTGCGATCAACCGGATTTCCATTTGTCTAAAACGTCATGTTCCTTTTCAAGCCCCGCCCCCGCCTTCAGCATCCCCTCCCCCTTACAACACAATCTCTCCAGTAAGAACATCAAACAACAATATTTAGACGACATGCTGGAATTTTAATTTTACTTTCAGTTTCGTACTCGTAAGTTAACTTTCTTTTCCAGGAACAAGTTTATTTATAGCACAAGGGTTTATCCGTTTAGTTAGGGTAAAAGTAAAAGATATTTTTATTGAACATTCGATCTTAGCCTTGATGGTTTGTCATAGTAACACTCTACAAGTTAGTATCATTTTTTTTAAATTATTAGAATCATACTGAAATAAAGTAGGCATTTTTTGTAGATGTAATTATAGTGAAAGTAGCACGTACTCAAATGACAATCACTTGACACATATTGTAGTAGTAATTATTTCCGGCGTCATCTTCGTACTGATAATGTTAGATAAGTTATTTAATACAGTAACATTGACACGGCTTCGCATAAAGCTATAGATAAAGTAAACACATCACTAGGCTACTTCACAGAATACAAGTTTAAGTGTTTCAAAAACTAGTTCGCCTCATAGGTAGCGCCGGCCCTGTATATATATATATATATATATATATATATATATATATATATATATATATATATATATATATATATATATATATACATTCACACACCTTCGTAGAGAAAGAGAACAGCAATACACTGAGGCTACAATTAACTGCAGCCAGCCATCTTGTAAAGGGGAAACGAAGCAATAGGCTCATTACATAGTATGTGTGTGGGCTTATTGTGAAATGAATTGATGATCACATAAATTAATACTTATGTATTTTTATTTATAACGGGACTTTTTTTTAACAGCATGGCCAAAAAGGGTGCTAAAATGTCGTTATCTGACAGTCATAGAAGCCCTAGGTAGGATGTATTTCCAACGTGTATATAGATACATAAACACCCATATATATATATATATATATATATATATATATATATATATATATATATATATATATATATATATATATATATATATACATATGTATATATATGTATATATATACATATATATAAATTTGTAATATGTATATAATTGAGTGTGTATATCGGCATATTAATATACATATATATGTAGCCTATCTATGAGTGTTTATATGCATATAGATGAACTTATTTCTCATCTATTTTAATAGTTCCAAGACCTATGTTGATAATGATGAGAATCGCAGAATGGGAAGAGTTGGAATGGTAAAAGGTAGTGCTGTATATTCCAGGTACACATTCTTTAGCAATCTAATCTTTACTACATATAACATACAGAAGTTCCAATTTGTAATTTCAAACTACAATTTTATTTCCAGAGCTGAGCAGACTCTGACGGTTAAAATGGATCAGTTGAACTTAAGTGGTAGCAGGTGAGAAATGTGCGATTTTAAGAGATGTGGTTAAAGAAACAGGTGAAACAAGGTGTCTCTTGTAGTCAGTGGCGTAGCGAGGTTGGGGGGTGTATGCGGGGGGTGCAGACCGAACCGGATGACACCACTTAGGGGGGTGACACTAAGGCAAAAAATAGCAAAATATATAGAAAAATGATAAATCCACTTAATTGATTAATTCGAGTGTTAAATAGTCTTTTAAGAGGTGGAAATGGAAAGTTTGAGGGGGGGGGGGGTGCAAATCGAAAGTTTGAGGGGGGGCGGGCAAATGGAAAGTTTGAGGGGGGGGGTGTAAATCGAAAATTGAAAGTTTGGAAGGGTCGCTACGCCTCTTGGGGGGTGACACCATTAAGTGCCGAACCGGGTGACACCCGACCTCGCTACGCCACTGCTTGTAGTCACTCAAACAGGTGTGTCTTTATCTCTTGTAGTCACTCAAACAGGTGTGTCCTTAACTTGTGCAGCAATAGGTTTTCTTATAAACTGTGATACAACAAATGTATTACCAATAGCGTTAACTAAGCGTTGGAACATCATGGTATAGAACTAATATTCAGCGGAACATCAAGTTTACTTACTAGATTAGATGTTAAAATTCTTAACATTTAATTTTCAAACCAGTCGTTTGTATGGTTAAAGTTGTTATAAAATATTCTAAATAACAATTAACTTATATGTTTAAGTTAAAAAAAAACAGAATAAAATTCTGTGTAAACGAAACCGTTTGATTAAACTATTTTTGTTACAATGCAGCAAAAAGGTCAAGTCGGGTCAAAGAGCATCTGCTGGTGCATCAATGGGTGCAGTGCCCCGCCCAGCAGGAAGTCGAGACGGTCCCACACATAGGAGGTAAGGTCATTGGTCCCACACATAGGTCCCACACATAGGTCCCACACATAGGAGGTATAGTCATTGGTCCCACACAAAGGAGGTATGGTCATTGGTCCCACACATAGGAGGTATGGTCATTGGTCCCACACATAGGAGGTAAAGTCATTGGTCCCACACATAGGAGGTATGGTCATTGGTCCCACACATAGGAGGTATGGTCATTGGTCCCACACATAGGAGGTATGGTCATTGGTCCCACACATAGGAGGTATGGTCATTGGTCCCACACATAGGAGGTATGGTCATTGGTCCCACACGTATCAGGTATGGTCATTGGTCCCACACATAGGAGGTATGGTCATTGGTCCCACACATAGGAGGTATGGTCATTGGTCCCACACATAGGAGGTATGGTCATTGGTCCCACACATAGGAGGTATGGTCATTGGTCCCACACATAGGAGGTATGGTCATTGGTCCCACACATAGGAGGTATGGTCATTGGTCCCACACGTATCAGGTATGGTCATTGGTCCCACACATAGGAGGTATGGTCATTGGTCCCACACATAGGAGGTATGGTCATATAAGGTCCCACACATAGGAGGTATGGTCATTGGTCCCACACATAGGAGGTATGGTCATTGGTCCCACACATAGGAGGTATGGTCATTGGTCCCACACATAGGAGGTATGGTCACTGGTCCCACACATAGGAGGTATGGTCATTGGTCCCACACATAGGTCCCACACATAGGAGGTATGGTCATTGGTCCCACACATAGGAGGTATGGTCACTGGTCCCACACATAGGAGGTATGGTCATTGGTCCCACACATAGGTCCCACACATAGGAGGTATGGTCACTGGTCCCACACATAGGGAATATGGTAATATAAGGTCTCTCCGTAGGATGTAAGGTCATATGAGGTCTCTCCGTAGGATGTAAGGTCATATGAGGTCTCTCCGTAGGATGTAAGGTTATATGAGGTCTCTCCGTAGGATGTAAGGTCATATGAGGTCTCTCCGTAGGATGTAAGGTCATATGAGGTCTCTCCGTAGGATGTAAGGTCATATGAGGTCTCTCCGTAGGATGTAAGGTCATATGAGGTCTCTCCGTAGGATGTAAGGTCATATGAGGTCTCTCCGTAGGATGTAAGGTCATATGAGGTCTCTCCGTAGGATGTAAGGTCATATGAGGTCTCTCCGTAGGATGTAAGGTCATATGAGGTCTCTCCGTAGGATGTAAGGTCATATGAGGTCTCTCCGTAGGATGTAAGGTCATATGAGGTCTCTCCGTAGGATGTAAGGTCATATGAGGTCTCTCCGTAGGATGTAAGGTCATATGAGGTCTCTCCGTAGGATGTAAGGTCATATGAGGTCTCTCCGTAGGATGTAAGGTCATATGAAAACACGAGGTCACTCCATAGGAAATATGGTCATCGGTGTTTCTTTCAGGAATCTCTTCGGCACACCTCCCCCCCCATCGAAATAAAGCTTACATAAAAAATATATACTTTTACGAGTACCCCCCCCCCCCTCCCACCCAAGGAAAATTTAGTACCCTGCCCACCCCCTCAAAAGCTTTAAGTCTGAAAGAAACACCGATGATCATATGAAAACAGGAAGTCGCTCCAACACACATAAAGCATGCTCATATGTATGCAAGTACTGCCAGTCCAACATAAGAAGATATTTCAAATGAAAATACTGTCGTGATTTTTACCGAATGATATGACTGGTATGCTGGGTGAAGCTGAAACAATTGGAACATTTTCTTCTTACGAGGCTGCAGTGTTTGTTCTAGACTTTTTTCTCCGAGGGGGGGGGGGGCTCTTGAAATAGTTTGGGGGGGGAGGACACTGGTAAAAGTATATGTTTGCTAAATAAATTCCATTACGTTCGGGGGTAGACTTTCTTCGGGGGATGAGCCCCCACCCCCCCTCTCGAAAAAGATGCCCGGAAGAAACACTGCGAGGCTAAGCCCCAACATTGGTCAGTCTCCCAAAGTTTTGCTTTTTCTATCTTGTTATATTTAACATATGAATATTCCTTATGCATCTGTGTATAAAGCTATCCTGTATTATGATGTTATAAGATTAAACATTGACACTCAATTTACAATCTGGCAGCTCCTCTGGAAAGGTTTACGAAGACAACGACTTCAATAGAAAACACAACAGAGTCGGTAAACCAAAAGGCAGTGCCCCGGTCTCAAACAACAGTCGATGATAGACGCAGTTCAAATAGAAAATACAAGATAAGGCAGTTTCATCATATAATACAATATAAGGCAGTTCAAAAAAGTAATGCAATATAAGACGCGAGTCCTATGATGTGTGCCTAAGTAATTTCCATTATACTCCGTCGGGCCAGTGATCAAAATGATTTTTTGTATCTCTTTTTTTCTTGTTTGGACTTGCATTGGTATAGTCAGTGGTGCTCACATTATAATGTTTAACAAGATAATAGTCCATTATCATTAAGATTGACTTTAAATAATTTTGTTTATATCAGTTTTCGAACTAGTTCATCACAAGGACTTTATTTTCATTTTTATTAAATTTGAGATAAATGACAACAGTGAGTTTAAATCAAAATGTTTTTTTGTTTTTATCAAATTTGAGATATGTGACTAGACTACTACTCTGGCTGAAGTTTTTCTCGTGATGATACCAATATACCTGGATGTTTTTTCTATGTAGCTAAATCCTAAAAACACCAACCTGTGTTCCCCAGCCAACGTAATTAACCTGATACAAGCAATTAATTTAATTAAGCGACAGTGTAATTTAAGATGTCATATATAACAAGCAAGACTTTCTCTATGTAAAATGTGGGGGAAAAAAATCAAACAGCTAAATCAGAATTTTAAAAATGAAAGGCTCTTTATAAGAAACGATTGTTATAATGTTGTTTTCTGTATTCTTATATAACTAACATGTGTTCATAATATTGTTTCATGTTATACAAACTTGTTGTATTTCAAATATTCAAATACTAATCATAAAATAAAACGAAAAAGTATTCAAATACAAATCATAAAATAAAACGAATAAAAACATGTTGGTTTACAAAGAAGAGAGTCAGTGTGTTCGATTGCTTGTTAAATATTTTAATAAATTTTGTGTTCAAATATCAAGGCCTATAGTCTACATTAGACCCTATCGATGCCTATCCCTATATCTATTCGAAAAGTCACGCCAAACCACTTGTGTATTGATTTCTCGTTAACAAAGAGCATCCCCCATTTAATGATATACATTTAATATAGCCATAAAACTTTGCATGGGCTAAAAAAGTCAGATAAGTATATTTATGTGTTTTACAATACGTTAATTCAATACTCCCACCCCTACTTTTAATGTTTACGACCATTATAAGATTAGCATTTTTTATTTTAGTTTGAAGAGTTACAAGCAATCCCATAAAGTATAAAACTGCAGAGCTTTAAAAAAAATCTGGTTACTTCAATGATCATGTCAGCAACAACGTCATTATGTGGTAGAGCGCATGCGTAGTGAGACACAGAGCAACCAACACCAAACAGAACTCAACACCACGGTAACCAACACTAAACAGAACTCAACACCAAGTAACCAACACCAAACAGAACTCAACACCACAGCAACCAACACCAAACAGAACTCAACACCAAGTAACCAACACCAAACAGAACTCAACACCACGGCAACCAAGACCAAACAGAACTCAACACCACGGTAACCAACACCAAACAGAACTCAACACCACAGCAACCAACACCAAACAGAACTCAACACCACAGCAACCAACACTAAACAGAACTCAACACCACAGTAACCAACACCAAACAGAACTCAACACCACAGCAACCAACACCAAACAGAACTAAACACCACAGTAACCAACACCAAACAGAACTCAACACCAAGTAACCAACACCAAACAGAACTCAACACCACGGCAACCAACACCAAACAGAACTCAACACCACGGCAAACAACTCCGCTGTCCATGCCACCATTTTGATTTGGGTCCAGGTTTGGGGGTCCATAATTCAGGTCCTTAATTAGGGTTCATGATTCGGGTCAGTAATTTGGACCCATCATTCCGGTTCATAATTGGAGCCCATCAATTGGATCCATAATTGGGACCCATAATTCGGCTCCATTATTGGGACCCATAATTCGGGTACATAATTGGGGTCCATCATTCGAGTCAATAATTGGGGTTCATCATTCGGGTCCATAATGCGGGATCATTATTCGGTCCATGATTGTGGTCGATAATTAGGGTCCATCATTTGGTCCAAGTTATTCGGGTCCATCATTGTATCAGAAACACCGAAATCTTTCAAAATAAGCTACCATTACCAACGAAAGACCTTTCAAAGTCGAATTCCCTCTAGAGCATGTTTAGACTGAATCGATGTATTAGTTTATGTCTAACCGAAATATTTTTTCACTTGACCCAAAGACTAGTAGGAAGCTTAAAGAAGAGTATTGGCTATCCCTCGTCATTCATGTCAACAGGCCTACACTGTTAGTTTAAACAAATTCTTACAAACAAGCTTTATTTTGTGGGACAATTTTTGTTTCAACATACATTTTACAGTTTACGCCGACCTCCAATTTTCAAGGAAAGCAGTAGCCTATTATTCTTTTCAAGCACTGTTTTTTTTAATTTTCATTACTTGAAAGTAACCCAAAACTATTTTTATTGCGTTTTCACAACTCGGTAACGTACCGCCTATCCCACCACCTTTCGTTCAATTTTTTTTTGCCAATATCTACTTTCGTTTTACGGGTTCAAACCCGTTCCTTTCAGATCCGGCTGACAAGGAACTGTTGTTGTTGTTGTTGACGTTTAAAAAAACAATTGAGTCACCGGCACTTTATTTTCATTCACTGGAATTGTAGGCCTAATTTAGTTTCAGTATCGCTTCTTTCTGGGAAATGTATTTTTGTGTCTTTGGTTGCCATATAGATCTAAAATAAACATCATGTAGTAGACTATTTAGCCTCTGAGGAGAAGGCTTTGTGTTTATTCGGTGTTGAAGAGCAAAGTTTCATGCTTGGAGAAATTAAAGTAAGAAAAACATTATTTACAATTATATTAAAACAAAACATTGATATTATTATTAAACTATGGTAACTGCATTGTTTTTCTAACAAAGTTAAATTATTTTAGCTGATAACTTAAAAGTAACAATGATTCGTGAGGGCTGTACCGTTTCATATTTATTGTAATAAAATAATTCTATAAAATACTTACTATTTACTGTGTAGGCCTTTATGTAGGCAATTATTAAAAAGACAACATAAAATACTCTTATTAACTTAAAGACAATTGAAAAATTTCAATATTTTAATGCATTTGTGGTCTGTAACTTGTGTTACCACTAATAAAAAGTCACCCTTTCGTAACGGAGGGTAGCGGGTAGATAAAGAAGAGTTGTTTAATTTCGGTGTCCTCGATCACGAGGGCGATCCTTTGCCCAGCCGACTTTATTTTCATTAACTTGATTTGTGTACCCATCAGCGTACCCGAATTGGGTACCCATCAGCGTGCCTGAATTGTGTACCCATCAGCGTACTCGAATTGTGTACTCGAATTGTGTACCCATCAGCGTACCCGAATAGGGTACCCATCAGCGTACCCGAATTGTGTACCCATCAGCGTACCCGAATAGGGTACCCATCAGCGTACCCGAATTGTGTACTCATCAGCGTACCCGAATTGTGTACCCATCAGCGTACCCGAATTGTGTGCCCATCAGCGTACCCGAATTGTGTACACATCAGCGTACCCGAACTGTGTACCCATCAGCGTACCCGAATTGGGTACCCATCAGCGTACCCGAATTGAGTACCCATCAGCGTACCCGAATTGTGTACCCATCAGCGTACCCGAATTGTGTACACATCAGCGTACCCGAATTGGGTACCCATCAGCGTACCCGAATTGGGTAACCATAAGAGTACTTGAACTGGTTATCAATCCGAATCCTATATTGAGCCCCAAATCTGATCCTTCAAACGACTTAACCATACATTTGAAATGGCATTATAAATTAATGTTCTTTCTTCTTCTTCGTTCTTAACATTTAATTTTGTAAGGGATTCCCTCCAACACAATTGGGTATGACGTGTCAACTTGTTATGCGCCATAAAGTTCGTTGACTCCATTTTCAGCCTGCCTTACTTTTTCAACCAAGAACAAACAAGTTAGCATGTGTTTGACCTTTGATTTGTCTCTCTTAGAAGAGCTGCTGTCCCCTGCGGCGCCCCTGCCTCGTCTGCCCGGGGTTCGAACTCGAGACTTTTCGGTTTAGCAACCATGAGCTTTACCTGTAAATTAACCAATATCTTCCAATCATTCACGCAGTATCCCCCCCCTCCAACACGGATATATCGATGACGTGTTGATGTATACCATCTTTCCCGCAGCTTCTTTTATGTGCAGCGGTGACGTCAGTAGTTTCACTTTCATTCTATTATTCCGGGAATTTTTTTTTATTTATAGCTCAAGGATGTCCTTTTATATTACGTGTTAATTTTTTTATTTTTTTATTCGTATATTAAGAGATCTAAGCATGTGCTACGTGTTGTTAACATGTGCAACTGTAAACTTAACTTTATATTAATTTCACTTTGAAACTTCAGTGATTATATTTTTAAAAAATAATAATATATTGCAGGACAATAAAATATATCATAAACACACACAGCCAACTCGTTGGTGATATTTTAATTGTTCAACTTGAATTAGCGTGAAACGGATCGTGTTTTCATTTGTGGAGGCGTGATTACAACTGTTATTTTACAAGAGAGTCTAGTCTATTTTTTGTCATTGGAGAAATTTCATTAAGAATAGAGGATACAGGTAGGTTGTTTTTTCCCGGTTCTATAAATAATCAATTATTTACTACATTAATATTAGCCCCTCATCCGAAGCCTAGCAATAACTCTTTGCTAAAGGGGCAGAACCCTACTCGAGAGAGAGACTAATGACGAGCAGTGCCATTATATTTTTTACATAAAGTGTAAAGACAAGCGGTTCTCTGATCGTTGTTGCCAGTCGCCTGACCAGAGAGTAGGCCAACTACCCCCCCCTACTCCGCGGAATACGTCGACCCCCCTGGGACGATATATATATATATATATATATATATATATATATATATATATATATATATATATACATATATATAATCTCCTGTATATCGTGACTTCTTGATCTTCTTGCGGGACAATGTCAGCCATTTGGTTAAGAGTCGTGGAAATGCAGTTGCAGGGATGTCCAAGGGGCCAGGAAAATTTTAAAAGGGTCGCCCAAGTGGTCGTCCATAAATGACGTCAAACGCGTAGGGGGGGGGGGGGTCCGTAATTTTGTGACGGTGTGTGATGAGGGGGAGGGGGTTCAGATGGTGCGACCTCACACTTTTGCATTATAAAAAAGCAATGTTAGAAAACGAATTGTAGACGTTATTTCGCGTTTTAAAAAACTGTTTTAATACATTGTAATAGGAATTGATTAAAATACTCAATTTTGACAGAGTTCAGACAAGATTTTAGAAAAATTTCGATGTTTAAAAAAAATAAATTCAACTGCAATTTTGAGGGGGGTTGTAGGCTGAGGTGTGACATCATTTTTTGGGGGGGGGGGGGGGGGTCTGGTTTTTTGTGATGACATGTGACGGAGGGGAGGGGGGGGGAGATAAAAATCGTCAAAAAAAGCGTGAAGTTCCCCAACCCCTGGTTAAAATTTTTATGATGCATTTTTCTCCACCAAAGTCTGAATTTTACGCCATAGTATGTAGGAATGCTACCATTGTTAAAATTCCAACAGTTAAATAAACCGGGAGTGATCTCCCCTAAACTTTCTCGAATATTCTTATATAAAATAACAGGGGATGGAAACTCGGGCTATAGACATGATTTTTAATCCATTTTAAATACTTAAAGTTTTAAAAATAGAATAAAATCTCGTAGACAAATTAATTGCACACCAAGTGAACGCGAAATAAAAAAGCGCATAATAGTGCGCAATATTATTAGTACTTTTAAAATTTACATTAGTTTTTTGAGAAATCGGAAGTAGCGTAAATTACTACTTCCTGTCAACGGAAATTACTCAAAATTTAACAGAAGGTAGAGAAATAGATCTTTTACTTACATGTGAAATTTCATTTATCTATCTGAAATAGTACTCAAGTTATAGGCTTTTAAAAAATTCAAAGTAGGAAAAGTACCACTTCCGGTTATCGGAAATCGCTCAAAAGTTGATACGGATCTACGATTTTGATAAAATACTTATATATGAAATTTCATCAACCTAGCTGTAACGGTACTCAAGTTATCGTGTTTACACACGGACAGACACACACACAGACACACACAGACATACGGACAAGATTGCAAAATTATGTTTTTCCGTATCAGTGAGGTGTAAAACGTCGAGATTTGTAAAAATCTCGATTTTTTTTTTTTGCACGATTACAATACTTTCTCTATACTACGTATATACGAGAAAGTAAAAAACCAAAGCAAAGCACTAATAGGACTATTAGCACCGTTTCTGGGGGCCCATTGAGATTATTTTTCCTGGGGGCCCACCGGGATATTTCCCGGTAGACCGGTGGGCAGTTGCCTAATGTATAGACTCAATAAGCTTTCATTTGTTAAATAGAAACGTTTTTTCTTTATTAGAATGTCCAGAAATTATGTTGACAATGCTATGAATAGGAAATTGGGGAGAGTCGGCATGCCACTAGGTTCTGCTGTGCATAGTGGAGGAAGCAGTTTTTCAGGGTAGGTTGATTTTAAAGGTATTGACCAACGTTTTTGCAATTATTGAAGACGAATTGGTTTATTGTATGTTTTAAAATACATTCAGCTGATTCGGGAATACATTTGCAAGTGGTGATAAAAAATCTTTGCTAAACTACATAGAATTCTATTATAAAACGTACCATTGCTTTATTTTTCACATTTCAATATGTTTTTCACTATAAAATATGAGTATGACTGTGATAAAAAACAGACAAAATTGAATTGCTAGTCAGGGGCGTAGCGAGGGGGGGGGCGGGGGGTGCGGACCGCACCGGGTGACACCATTTAGGGGGGTGACACCAAGGCAAAAAATAGCAAAACATATAGAGAAAAACTCGAGGGGGGGTGCAAATCGAAAGTTTGAGGGGGGGGGGGGGTGCAAATCGAAAACTTGAGGGGGGGTGCAAATCGAAAATTTGAAAGTTTGTCCCTGGGAAGGGTCTCTATGCCTCTGGGGGGGGGGGGTGACACCATTAAGTGCCGCACCGGGTGACACCCGACCTCGCTACGCCACTGTTGCTAGTTCACACAGAGGACTTTTCAAATTAGTTCTTATGTCATAAAACGTAAAAGGCTTCAAATGCTAAAATATCTGGCCAGAATGGCATGTAAACATATTACCTTCTTTACAAAAGACAACAACCGTAGCAGAAGACGTTTTTGCCTGCGTTAAATTATTTTTGAGTAATTTTTGACACTATTCGAGTATTCGACTAATCATAGATCTAGAATCTAGGATCTAGATTCTAGATCTAGTTTTTAACCAACTGTCCAGTATGAGTTAGACTCTAGAAACTCTAGATCTAGATCTAGTTACTAGTTACAGCAAGTTTCACTAGATTACTAGATTCTAGCTAGATTATTCTAGATCTTAGATCTAGAATCTAGATTCTAATCTAATGCTTAAACTTAAGTCTTAAATGGTAATCTATCGTTTTGGGTACGTAAAATCGCCCGCGGCTTCTAATGTACGAAAAAGTTACCTCATTGTCAAGGCTTTAATTATATAGATGTATATTTTGATATATTTGTGTCAAATATTATAGATAAATGAATAATAAACCTAAATCAATAGTTAAATTACTTAAATATATATATAGGCAAGAAATTAACTTTAAACAGCAGTGTTTACGAGCAGGATTTCCTATATAAACAGCAGCCATTTGTAAAATAGAGTTGCCTTCCCCTGAATCTTGCGCTGTAAGTTAATAAAGAAAGAACTTAAGATGGCTGCTATAGTAAATGAGCATGGTTGCATCTGTTGGAAACATCGCTAGTCTTCATTTATTATTGAAAAGTTTTAATTCAATTGTTTGAAAACAGGTAAATAAATGAAACAAGGAAACATTTTTGTATTTTTCAAAACATAAATCCTCCTCAAAATGTGAAATAATTATTAAAATTTAAGGAGTCACCTGTCTTTCACATTACTAGTCGCGGGCGATTTTACGTACCCAAAACGATAGATTACCACTTAAATAAATAGTAAATACACAGTCAAGATGATCTTTCAAGATGTCATCGCTCCACATCCTACCCGACAACCATTTAATTTATAACTAGACTCTAGATCTATAATAATAATATTAAATAATAGTAAACTAAAGCTATGCCACAACACTCAACCACAACTCCTGCTATCCTCCCCCCCTCCCCCCTTAAAAAAACAAGAACCACAATTGCGGAAATAGTATTGCAACAATGTGTCAGTTTTTTTATATATATATATCTGATATAAAAATCTATTTTATAAAAACAATGCTAAATGATTTTAAACTTTGTCTTTATAGTTCAAGCTTCAGCAGTGGCAGCAGCAGTAGCAATTTCAATACTTATGTAGATAATTCTATGAATAGAGGACTTGGGAGAGTTGGGATGGAATATGGTACAGCTGTACATTCAAGGTGAATTTTACTTACCTGTCTTACATTACTTACAATTTTTTTTAACCTACCTATGGTTGCATGATTAAAATGGTGTGATACCATGATCATTGTTATTGATATCATTTTAATTTTTCTAATTTTTAAAAAATGTTTTAGTAATTTGCTACTTTCTATTGGTATTAATATTGGAATAAAGACCTATATAGTAAGCCTTGGCCTATATATCATCATTAAGCTTTGTTTAAGTTTTTAAAAGAATTATTCATAGTAATTGTACAGCAGTTATTCCAACACTTAAGTCAGTATACAGACAAAAATTATGTTAGTGGGCCTCAATGGCGCATAACCAGTTGACACGTAACGCTTAATTGTGTTGGAGGCGTGGTCGAGTCGGCAAAAAAAAACTGATGGTTGATAAATTCGAACAAAGTCTTAAGTTCAAACCCACTGGCAGATAAATCTCGATCCCCTTCAACACTAATAATTAAGAACGAAGAAGAAGAAGAAGATGTTTTTATTTTCTCATTGTAATATGTATTAATTGTACAGTTTTATGTGATCTTATCTACTTTAAGTGATATTGAAGCAATATTATGAATTTATTTTTGTTCAAAACTTGCATAGGTCTAGCCCAAGTAGTAGCAGTAGCAGTTCCAAAACTTATGTAGATAACTCTATGAATAGAGGACTTGGAAGAGTTGGGATGGAATATGGTACAGCTGTACATTCAAGGTAAATTTTACTCAGCTATCTTACAATTTTAATTGTATTTATATAGTTGCAGGATTAAATAGATAGGTTGTAATGGACATCTTGATGAATTTGGTTGTATTAATTCAAAAGCAAATTTCTATCAAAATCTTAATGTCATTTTAATTTTTCTTAATTTAAAAACTGTTTTAATTATCTGCTACTCTGTTAGTATCCTTTTTTTAAAGACATATATTTGTAAGCCTAAATAGGATATTCTTTTATCTTGATGCATTGCTGTATTAAATATTTTAAACATAAAATATTTTACATTTTTTTATTGTAACAATTGCAATATTTAGTGTTTTATCTAGACAAATTAATGTTAGTAAATAATCTGTTTAGTGAAAATAATATTTTTAAAAGTGCGAATGTTGTGTTAAAAATTATACAGATTTTTGTGATCTTAACTAATTTAAACATTGACGCAATATTATAAAATGATGTTTTTCAAAATTTGAATAAATCTAGCGGAAGCAGTAGCAGCTGCAGTTCCAAAACTTATGTAGATAATTCTATGAATAGAGGACTTGGAAGAGTTGGGATGGAATATGGTACAGCTGTACATTCAAGGTAAATTTTTTCTTTTCAAGGTAAAGGTTTTCTTTTTGGATCAATAATTTTTTTTACTAGATTGCTTCTTCTTCTTTTATTTCTGTTTTTTCCTTTTGAAAAGATCTTAATTAAAAAAACAACAATAAAACAACTGTTCTGTAAATTTAAATAAAAACTGTCATAACAATTCTGTATTTTCTATTTAAAAGTTTTGGAAGGCACTTTTTTCTCATTGTTAAAAAAATTGTTAGCATTTCTTTTTTATATTAAATATTTCACTTTATCATGTTTCACTTGTAAACAGAGACTTATGTATAAGAACAGCGTAAATATTGTGTAATGCAAGTGCTATATAGATGAGGTAGTTTATCATTTAGTAATAATTGTTTTATTAAATAAAGTGTTGCCACAGAGTCATTTTTCAACCCATTATTTTTAATTGATTTTTTATGAATTATATCAATACTTTTTATTTGCAAAAGTTTTGTTTGATATTGTGGTTGGATGATAAGAGGGTTAACAGAATAGTCGCAACTTTTATTCATTCAATTAATGATTTTGTGTACAGCTTTCTTAAAGTAATTCAGGAATGAGTTTATAATAGCCTACAGATTTGGATAATCCTTTGACACATAATTCCCCCTTAATAAAATAAGTGGCTGTAGTTTTATATCCATTTAATGAGGCTAGTTGTTTCTAAATCAATCCTACTTGCTTAGACCCACCAGTATGAGTCATTAAAGTTATTGTTCACTGACTGCATACTGATTTTGTTTTACTTAACATATACATTAGACTTTAATATTTACAACACTATTAGATATAGATGATAGCTGAAGACAAAAATGATGAGATAAGCGTGGTACTTTATTAATTTAGAAAATCTATAATTTTTGGAAGGTGATCTAACCATTTTGAAATAATTTTAACAAGTATTGAAGGGCAACAAATAGGAATATTTAAGGTTTTTTGGATACTTTCAAGACCTTTAAGTAGGCCTAAATAGTCCTTCTGGTCATAAAACTAATTGGGGAATTAAACAAAAATTCAATATTTGGTAAAAAAATAAACCTATCTATGATAGTATATGGTATGCCCTAATGTGAGTCAAATCTGGGTGGATTCATGGATGTCCTACCAACTTAAGCCTGAGATCCGAACTCGAGACCTTAGGTTAGCAATCTTGTGCTCTACCACTCGGCCACACCACCCCCAGAAAGATGTTATTACTGAGCGCAAAAGACTATTCAAAATAGAGTTTGATAGTATTCTGGTTATTCTTAAAGGAACCAATCCCCATAAATTTGCTTAGCTTGTCAAGTGTAGGATCAAATAAGATCACATCCTATATTCTTGAAAATGCATTGCTGTTCAGGACTGTGGTGCTTTTATATTAGCTACATGTTTAACATAGAATTTTTAAATACTTTATATAGGCCTAGCTCAAGCAGTAGCAGTAGTAGTTCCAAAACATATGTAGATAGTTCACTAAATCGAGCGCTTGGAAGAGTTGGGTTGGAGCATGGTACAGCTGTGCATTCCAGGTAAATGTTTTTTTTATTAACTTTCTGTTTTATGTAGTATAGTATTATAGGAATAAATATATAGGCTCTAATCCTTTCACCCTTTAATGACATTCATAATGTATTAAGAAAAAACTAAGAAGGAAAATACAACTATGTATAATTTTCATTTTACTTAATTGAATTAATTGGTAGGCCTATATAGTATAATTATGTTTGAGATAAAGGATGCCTAATTTATGAGCCATGTTGCTTAGACTTAATTCCTGAATGATTGATAAACGAATTTATTTAATAAGTGGATATTGAGTTCTTCTTGGTAATTTTTTTTCTTTTATTAAAATATCACCATCAAATACCATTTAATGATCCACAATTTTATTTCATGTCTTCAAAGAAAAATTTCAATATCAATTTTTATTAATATATTTTATAAGATTTATAGGAACATATTTTTGTTTTAAAAATTTTTATTTCGCATTTAGTTAATGAATCATAAACCACTGTTAATGGGGATGGCTGACCTTGGTGTTTTTTTTAATTTGTCAATGCAATTTAATGATAGAGATTTAGTCTGTGCTTATACTAGGCTTATTTTATATAAATTGGAAATGGCTACTCACTTGACCCCCATAATGATATGTGTTTGTTCACTCTGGCTGCATAGTTTTAGCATTTTATGAAAAAACCCCCCCTCATGTTAACAGAACAAATCAAAATATAATGCTATTTAATATCACCACACACCAAAAAAAAAAAATGGCAGTTTACTATTTGTAATTGTAAAAGTTATGTCAGACACTTTATTTGAAATAATTTTTAAGTAAAGACTGGTGCTAATGTAACAGTTGATAACTCATCAAAGCAGAAAAATAATTCTGAATTAAAGTTAAGGGTAAACACTAAAAAAACAACTTAAAATTATTAAAAACATAATTCTTATTTACAGATCTGATAGCCTTAATGACAAGATGCAGCAGCTAACAACAAGCAGTCAAAGGTAATGTTAAAATTTTTTGACATGTTATATATGATAATGGTGCATTTATGGATTGAAGAACTCACTGTATCTCAGTATGGCATTTATTTCACATGGGTTAGCTATCTTTAATCTATTTCACTACAGCATGAAGGTGTATAAGGACAACCCATTAAACCAGAAACTTGGACGTGCTGGTCAACCATTTGGATCAATGCCACAATCTTCACAAAGTGCTAGTGCAGCTACTCCAAAAAAGTAAGACATTTGAAAATAATTTCAAAAATTGTATTTTTGTTTTTAAGTTGTAGACCTATGACCAGCAAACTACATATTTTTGACACGAAAATACAAAATGATATTGTTTGCAAGATTTTCAAGTAATGTATTATTAAATCCCTCTCAGTTTATGTCATTGATAACTTTAATCAGAGGCATAGCCAGCTTTACAGGTTTGGGCATTTTAAAATTTAAATACCGGTGTTGTATGTAACTGCAACTAGCCTCATCAGAATAATGCAAGACTGAGGTCAGGTGAAAGGACCAGGGTTGAACAATGGGATAGTCTCTCTTGTTCTTAATAACAAGCTCTACAAAATTACAAATGGGAAAACATTATACTGAGTGCCAGGAGGGACAATGGACAATGACCATACAAATGGCAGCATCAAGAATTTCAACATAAGCTAATCCATTGCAATGACTCTGATGACAGTTGTCCTGGCATCTTACCAGAATGATGAAGCGTTAGGTTGATAGACGTAATCATTCATATTGTAGTTTGTTCTTGATTGGACAAAGGCTGTGGAAGCAAATCCAAAAAGAAAAGCAGGCTGAAATAGAAGTCAACTGCCTTTACAGCGCATAACAAGTTGGCACGTAATACTTAATTGTGTTGGAGGGAATCCTTTTCAACATTAAAATTAAGAATGAAGAAGAAGAAAAATAATTATCTTGCTACTACACTAAAACTCTACATCACTTTCCAGGAGGTATTTTACATTAATTTCATCATAAAAATATCTGGAAGCCTAAATACAGGATTTTAAAAGTTGCTTTAACTCATTTGCATCCCACTTATGCAGTTACCAATTCATGAAAGCCTTTTGGTTCAAAAGAAGTATTAAAAGTAGGATGTTGCTCACCTACAACTAGATTTTGAAGATGTCCTACTGAAAGGGCCTTCATTAACTAACAAAGGCATAATGATGCTTACCTCAATACAGAGATGAACACCTGAAGTTAGGCACAGATGTTCACTACTTTTACACAACTTTATTAAGCAAAAGGTGTAGCCTAGACAAAAAGGCACTTAAATGACATAACCGAGCACTAAACTAAATGTGAGAAAAAGGAAAGAAGATTGCAAGCTAGGCTTTTTCTAAAACTCATCTCTGAAGATGATTGATGGCACAACATTGAACTCAGATGTTAAATGTTTGTAATGAATGAGTTTTATTATTGTTACATATTCCTGCCATCCCTAACTTACATTATAGCTCTAGTTGTATAAGTCTACAAAAAGTTGCTTCTGTTCCAAACATGCCCTCGTGTGTCACCCTGGCTATGCCTCATACTCTACTGTAATTATTTCACAAAAAATATTAAACATAACTTTAAAGAAATTTTAAAAATTCAAATGTGTTTAATATAAACTATTAACCTGTTTAATAAAATAAGTTGTAAGTAGTTAAAATCTAATTAAATTTATTTAATTATTCTCAGATCTGACAGCAGTCATGCCTATAGAAATCAGCCATCAGCATCAACTGACAGAAGGTGAGAAAATTTATTGCTAATCTGAGTTTTATTTTTGGCTCCCAATTTTAGGATAGGCTCAAATATTGTGCTCCGTCATCTATGAAAGGAATGCATTGAAGTAGCAGGATTATCTATGGCCATATTAAATGTCTCCTTAAAATACATACAAAAGCCTACTTAACAAGATGGATCATCTCCTCTTCCAAAAACTTTAAGAGTAATACTAGATAATCAGTTGCAGCCTATTTCAGTTGTGTTAAAACAGTTTTATACAAATTGCTGCTCTGGATCTATAGACAGATTATTTGTCAAAAATTAATGTTAAACTTGAATTTATCTACAAGTCTTCAAATGTAACTATACAAATGATATCTCATTCAATACATGAAAGATTATGCTAAAAGCTTTCAATGCAATGTCAAAGCCAATTTATGCTACAACAGCATTTTATGAGATGATTTTATTTCATCATGTCAAACTAGGAGGCCCTATATACCCCCCTATACCCCTATTTATCAATAAAAAATGAGTTTACATGAACTATGCTTCTTCACTGATGTTGACTTACCATGTCAAAATTAATTAGTAAAAGGTTGTTGTCTTTGTTTACAACTTTATCTGTTCAGTGACTTCTTGATGAATGAGATAAAATGATGGTTTCTTAATAAAGCATACTGATGATAAATTGGTAAAATGACTGAAGAAAAGTAGGAGATCATCAAAGCCATTTGCTTTGAATCTTGTTATGAAAAGGGAATATATGATATCCAAACAGAAGTATTGTAATGACATTATCAATGTCCTAACCATTGCAGTTTACTCTTTTAATCACTATAACTATTGTTGGATCCTCATAAAATTTACATGTCTTCTCTTAGTCATATGTGCAATCTAATGTCAGTAAAAACTGCTGTCTATAAACTTCTTTGTATTTCCTCTCCATAGTTTTAAGTATTGGAACGACAAGAGCAGTTAAATTCTAGAAATAATAGAAAAATGTCATTGTCTTTAGATGACTCAAACCTATCTTCTTTCATCTATGGGTATGGGTTCTGATAGCTTGGAAGGTTTGGTACTTCTGTACATTCATTTTATTGTAAAAGTTGATGTTGACAAAAAAAATATTTAAGTTTATTTTCACTTGGTGGCCAGCCTAGCATGAGCTCAACTAACTCTTGACAATCTGACCTAACCAAATATTATCTATATTGGTGAATTACAGTATGAAGGTTTACAAAGACAACAAATTAAACAGGAAATTAGGACGTGCTGGTCAACCATTTGGATCAATGCCACAATCCTCACAAAGTGCAAGGGCAGCTACTCCAAAACAGTAGGATATTTGAAAATCATTTGTTTATAAAATACATATCACATTCATTTATTATTTTTGCTTTAACATCATTTTTTTTTTTATATATATATTGTAATACCTATATTTTAGACTAATAAACATTAGAGAGTATTATGTTGTATTTTTTAGAAGCAGTTCAGCAAGTTATTCAGGGAAAGTGTATGTAGACAATGACTACAACAGAAAGCATAACAGAGTTGGTAAACCACTAGGTAGTGTGCCAATCCCAGCCAACACCCAAGTGTACAAGGACACACCTTTGAGCCGCTATCTGGGTAGGGTTGGGAAACCATGGGGAACTTGTCCAAACAAGAGTTTGCCCTATGAACATTTGATGCAAATGCTGATGCAATTGAGAGATGTAAGGAACATAAAACATTATTTTTTTTATAATGCTGTGAGAAGATATAAATAACAATAGTTAATTTGCATGTTATTCAAACACCTTAGATTTTTAAATAAAGGGGGATAGTTCATGTCTTCTTTTTCTTTTCTCATCTAATCTAATGTGGTTTTTGATTCTCTATGACATCTGATCTGTAATAAGATTAAAAGTTGATACTTTCATGGAAAAACACAATGAACTTTTAGTGTTATAAGTGTCATATTAGATAATATTAAAGAAGTTATATATTCATCATAGATGTGTGTATATTTTGAGGTATAATAGTTATATTTTCTATATAATAATTTTCTAAACATTTGTTCCCATTTCTTATTTTTTAGGATGAAGAAGTCCCTGATGATATTGCAGAGGTTTATGAAAGAGATGAAGTGGCAGAAGATTTTATTGATCATTTCATGGATCTCAGGAATCGTGAAAGAACTGTCAGAGAACAATTAGAAGAAAAAGGAACAAACTGGAAGGCACCAACACACAAATCCTCTCACACTTTTGAGAAATACAAGGGCGCTATCATTCGATTTGAAGAGCTTGAATTCATGAACAAGATAGGGCATGGAGGATTTGGTGATGTCTACATGGCTAAATTGATAGATGGGCAGGTTGTAGCCGTGAAGAAGCTGAGAGTAGAGCGAGTGTCCCAGAGAAGGCGCCAACAGTTTGAAGATGAGATTAAGCTGTTTTGTACCTTGCAGCATCCAAATATTGTTGGATTTTTGGGAGCCTGTGTGGTGAGCCCCAATCTGGCCATTGTCATGGAATACATGGATTTGAGCCTTCATGAAGCTCTGCATAACAAACAGGTTAGTTATATCTTTTATTTTTCATATTCAGATTAATAGTTTTAATTTAGAACCTTATTACATGTTGATTGATTGAGTGAGTATATCAGTGAATATAATATATTTCTGATTGTTGATTACAAGCCAGCAGTAACAAATAGCCTTAGCCATCTCAAACAAAAAACTAATGTTTTAGTTTGTTGTAAACATATAACATCAGGAAAATATGCAGTGCTTTTGCTCAGTGGCTAGTTTTTTCTTTGGTGGTAGGTTGGGGTAAGCTGTGTCTTGACAAAATGTGTGCTTAATTTTCACAGAACATCCAGTGGTCATTTCCCATCACTCCTTTACCTAGTTTATCAAAAAAGCTTTGGTCTACTAAAAAGAAAATGCAGAAGTGTGACTTTGATGAACCTCCTAACTCCCCCTCATTACAAAAGTCAGATACTCTCCTCCTCCTAGGATATTTATAGATGACCCCTACTAGGTTCAAATAGAGAATTATGTTTAAGAATATAGAAGAATTTAAATACACTTAGTAACGTGAAAAATGCTTTGGACTTTGAACAGGAAAAGTCAGTCTGTAAGTAAATAAAAATATTGAAAAGAAGAAAAATTAACATTCTAGCTAATAAAGCGAAAGTGATCTCCCCTAAACTTATTCTTAAAAAGTTCTACAAATTTTATTCTATAAAGTCACCAAAGTTTAAATATATTAACAATAATGTCAAAAGTATAATAATATATTCATCTCTTGTAACAAACCAGACATAAGGTCATATCCATCTTGCAAAGAGGGATCATTTGTTATCTCCCCTAAACTTATTCTTAAAAAGTTCTACAAATTTTATTCTATAAAGTCACCAAAGTTTAAATATATTAACAATAATGTCAAAAGTATAATAATATATTCATCTCTTGTAACAAACCAGACATAAGGTCATATCCATCTGGCAAAGAGGGATCATTTGTGATCTCCCCTAAACTTATTCTTAAAAAGTTCTACAAATTTTATTCTATAAAGTCACCAAAGTTTAAATATATTAACAATAATGTCAAAAGTATAATAATATATTCATCTCTTGTAACAAACCAGACATAAGGTCATATCCATCTTGCAAAGAGGGATCATTTGTAGAGTTTTTTTTCCTGAAGAACCTTCAGTTTACTTTTTGAATTAATTTTACTGTACAATGTTAATGGACTAATCAGTTGAGTTTATTCATATGAAATTTATTTATTCCAGAGATCAACTTCTGGCCCTTATAGTTTTCTGCATTGCTTGCATTTTTGAATACATAATTATTTTAAAATTCACTAAGAAATGTGAAATTTGTATGAGCATAAAATAAATGGTAAATAATAAACAGAATATGATGTGTGGGTGGGAGAGGGGGCATGTGGAATTTCACATTGGGCCTGAAACAGTAGTCTCCTACTCAATTTGGTAATACAACTCAATGGTTAGGTACAAGGCAATTGGTTGCTGATGTGGATTTGTGTTCTTGGATCACGGCATGCTGCACTATTTTCTGTCTTCGATATTTCTATTCATTTGTCTTGATATATCAGTTTAAAACTACAAATACTATATGTTTAATATTTCTATCACAAATAGGCCTACACGAGGTCTAAACATATTTAAATGTTGTTTATTCACAGGTAGATTTTTTAGACCAGGATAAACTGAATATTATGAGAGATGTATCCCAGGGACTTGACTATCTACATGGAAGAAAGATTGCTCATTGTGACCTGAAAACACAAAATGTTCTGCTCAACAACGTTCCTGGGCAAGAGACAACCAACTCACAGGGTCAGCTCATTGCAAAAATTACAGATTTTGGTCTGAGTATGATGAAAAATGAAGTGGAGACAGGTACCTCTTCAAAACAAGCAGTGAGTAACATTGGAACACCAAGATATTCAGCACCAGAGGTTCTCCGGGGTGAATTGTTGAATGTGGAGCAGCTGATGAAAGCTGATGTTTACTCTGAAGGTCTACTCATCTTGGAGCTGGTGGTTGAGGAAATAGCTTTTGAAGATTTGACCATACAACAGCTGAGGGTCCAAGTTGGGGAGAAAAATTTGAAGCCTGACATTCGCCGAGGGCTGACACTAGACAAGCAACTGAAGGAGATGTTGGAGAAATGTTGGAGCAGCAAACCAGATGACAGACCATCATCACATTCTGTCTGCCTGATGGTTGATAATATTCAGCACCTATTGAAAGAGAACAGAGATAATTCTAGTACTAGTAGTAGTAAACTGCTGAACTCCTCTTTTAATTTGCATTCACTTAATTTTGATTAGCAGGTTCTGTTGACCATGAGAAGCTATCCATTTGCTTTAGACAATGGAACTTATACTATAGATAGCTGACCAAGCTAACTTTAACCCTTTTATTTTAGAACTGTCCAACAAAATTAGACCAAGTTATTTTAGATTTCTGAAATAATTCATGGACAAAAAACTCTTTTTCATTATATATTTCTGACTGTATACATGGAGAAGATAAATATTAGATTATTTTAGGGTTAGCCCTTTTGTCAAAACAATGTGAGATTCTAGATGAAAAAAGTGAAAGACTGGACTAGAATTACTAAAACTCACTAAGGTTAACCTATAGGGCCCATTTATTGCATTGAAAGATTACCAGTCCTCTGTACTAAATTTAGTAAATAGATTTACTACTTTACCACTAGTAAACACTAGTTTGCTATCAATGTACTTTACTATTTTCTCCACATATTTTTTAAAGTAAAGCTGAAACAGTTTTCTTTGTCAACTAGATCTAGATTATTCTTCAGTTTTATATATTTATATTCCTTACCTCAGATATTAAAAACAAACTGTCTTAGTAAATTACTTCTATTTTGTAATATGCTATTTAAACTTCTAGAATTATATTTTACTTTTTATGATGGATCAGTATGTATTGACATACTCTGGTTTTTTAAAAATCCTATACTTATTTAACCACAGTATTGTAATTATGTTCATCCATTTCATCCTGTTTTTTTGTTTTACTGAATATTGAACAGATAATCATATAAAAAAAATATCAATGGCAAGCAGTCATTTTGTTTAGTGTTTTAGTGTTTCATCACACATCACTTTTTTCTTTAAGACGTTTTAAAAGCCTACTGTCTAATCACTTCCCCTTATCGAACCATTAATATCATTTATGATTAAAATATGCAAGTAGTAAAAGTTTTTTACTAGACTCTTTTATTTCAACTGAACAAAAACCATACCCTGATGATTTAGACTTGTGTGTTAGACTTTGTGTTAATTATATCATATGAATTGTATGAATTATATACTTATATTGTACTTCATAGGTTAAAAAAAGATATATATATATATATATATATATATATATATATATATATATATATATATATATATATATATATATATATATATATATATATATATAAAGTTTTATCTATTAACGATCATTATTAGTTAAAGACGTCAGGGAAGGCATTCCTGATTTTAAGCTTTGAGTGTTAAAATTCATGCTTGTAATGTTGAAGAATCCAGTGGTGTTGTTTTTAAAAAAATTCTGTTCTACATGTGAAGCTTTTTATGTATTAAGTCTTTTTAAGTCTTACTTGAGCTGTGATATTTATCTTTTTGGTAATACTTTTGATTAATAGCCAGTGGTGTTACAGTTTATTAATTTTAATATTAATGATAATGAGATTTTTTTTTGTTACTCTTTAGTCTTATTATAATTAAAAAAAAACCAAATATTTTCTGCATTTTTTGAACAGGGTGATTGTTATTTTCCTAGAAAAACCCAGAAAGACCCAGTAAATAAATAATCTAATTTGTTTTAATGTATAAGGCGTTATTTGTTATTACTTTGTTATGTTAGGGGTGGTATAAAAGGTGTGACAGGAAGGTAGCCTATAAATTAAAATATAAGCATATAATAAAATTTTAATTTACATAATATTAACATTTTGTCTGTGGGTATTGTTTAAAAGATAATTCACAATATTATTGCTAAACTATAATTGGTTGCTTTTGTTTTCTTTTAAGAAAAGTCTCACTTGTGTGGGCGGTTTATAAAGTTTTGATGCATAAGGGTTATGTTTATATTACTATCTAGGCTCCAAAATTATTTTCTGTAATAATTTACTCAGCACTTAACTGTTGTATTAAAACAAATTGTTTTAGAAAAATGTATTAATTTTTAATTTTTTTTATCATTCTTAATTGACACAACCTTTTTTGGCGATTTTCATCTCCCACTCTCTATCTCACAGCCAGACGTTCCCCCCCCCCCCCTCCCCCCCCCCCCCGCCACACTTTAAGTTAAGCCTATTTATTTAGCCTATGTATCAATTTCTATTACAATTAACGAAAACAGTCTTTTAAAAACGTGAAATTAAGGCTAAAACTGTTACATTAAAAAAAAAATGTGTTTCTGATTTATCTCCCCCCCCCCCCCAACGGCTCCTCGTCACACAATTCCGAATAACCCGTTCCCTGCTGGATTATGGCAATTATGGCCCTCCAAACACAGATCTGCTTTGTTCTCTATCCTGAGCCATCCTTGTCAGCTGTTTCCAAGCGTAACCAAAGCTCTTGATGTCTGACTCGGTGTTGCTTTCAGACTTTTATTTTATCCGGTGGGGGGGGGGGGGGGCGGACACTGGTAAAAGTATGTTTACTCTATAAATTCTATATACATTCAAATTCGTTTGCTTCACCCCCCACCGCCACCTCGAAGAGACGCCTGGAAAAAACTCTGTTCAAGTTCACGTCATCAGGTCATTCTTGGACGTCCTTCGCTCACCACTTCAAAGCTTGTCTGGGGATGCTTATCTGCTTATTAATGTGTGCTGTAGAATTCTACAAAGGCGGCTATTTGTGAATAACTAGACTTTTACAAAAATTGTCCTTTTTCTGCTTTGTATAATATACGATACAAAATCACTGGACCCGGACATAAAACCCACCATAACATTACCGCCCCCCCCCCCCCCCGAATTTAAATTTACATAAGACGAACAAATGTATTGACAGTTTTGTTGACCAAACAAATTTAACGACCCTACTATAGACCAACCATCAGCTGCTTGTAACAAAGCCCTAGAAGATGTTGACTTGCTTGTATGTAAGCAATGACTAACACATGGCGTAAAAATAAACTCCTCAAAATGTTAACATGTGACTGGACTCTTTATTACACCTACTCGTCCTTTTTCATTAACGCTACGGCTCGGGGCTGTAACAATAAAACACTGTGTACGCGTTTTAGTTTTAATTACTACCCACAAAAATGTGTTTAGGCAGTTTCTTTCAGCCATCTACCGCTCCTCCTCAGAACGAAGTAGATTTTATACAGAAAATATCCCCCCCCCCCCCGGAAAATTTAGTCCAACCCACTTCCCCAAAAAATGTGCCCCCTTCCTCGCAGTGTTTCTTCCAGACTTTTTCCCCCGGGGGTGCACTTGAAATTTTCAGGGGAGGGGGGCGGGGGGAAAAGTGCGTCACTGGTAAAAGTATATATTTTCTATATAAATTCTAATTCGTTCTCTGTTTGGGGGGGGGGGGGGTGGTAGTTTATCGGGGTGGGGGGGGGGGGGAGTAGAAAAAAATTAAAAAGTCTGAAAGAAACACTGTGTTTAGGGTTTCCCCACAGGGATAGCCTAAACACCATCGCTCTTTTAGCTCATGTAGACACAACCCACCTCAGACTAGCCCATAGAGAGAATAATCTCCGAACTTTGGTCGAATAAAACGCTTTTTTATCTGCAGGTTTAACCTATAGTTGTCACAGCTGACTAGGAAAACATGCCGGTACAAAGTTCAGACAAAAGGGGGTCATGTATTTTAAGTGTTTATGTTAAGGAAAATAAAGGAACATATAGTTTTTGTGTGATGCCAGAGTGCCACTTCGTTTAGCCTTATTCAGGACTGTTTTAGCCTGTAGACTACTACTAACTTGTGTTGTTGATAAAGTTATTTAACCCCTCCTGCACTCGAACAAATAAGTATAAGGTTAATGACGCTATACTCGATACGGTTCATGGGGACTTAGAGATTATAGGCAGTTTCTTCCAGGCATCTCTTCCGCCCCCCCCCCCCCCCCCCCCCGAAGAAAATCTACCGCCCCCCGAACGAGATGGATTTAACATACACTTTTACTAGTGTCCACCCCCCCCCCCCCCCGAAAGTATCAAGTGCCCCTCCTGTGGCAAATATGCTCTAGCGAGTCATACCGCACATAAATAAATATAGCCGCAGCTACAGAATGACCTGTTAGTCTAGGGTTTGTCTCGTTGGACAAGAGGTCCCTTAATAGTAATATTGAGTTTATTAATGTTGTATTATTATTATTAACTGATTGCCGATATTTGGCTCAGTGAAAAGGGTTAAAATTAGGATTGAATAATTAAATCAGTTTCCAATCCTTTAACTTTTATTAATTAATACATTAATAATTGACAACGTAATAACGATACAATTTAAAGTAGCCTGGAAGGGGCGACTGGTCTCCAGGGCGGCGTGGTTACACTTCCTCACACACAGACCTCTGTACTAAGTTTTAGCCCCAAGCTGGCCGGCTGTAAAATACATTAGACAACTTCCTAACATATGTGTGATATACACATTCATTCAGACACATACAAGTTTAAAATTGTTACCCAGATAATACATTTACATTAGCCTTACATAAGGCCTACAATAAACATTACTAGGAAATATGCTTTCATTCATACATTGTTTTATATTCATTCCATACTTATTAATTAATATTATAACGTTACAGCTAATAAAAGTAAGTGTTAATTACCTTCCAAAGAAGCCACACAATCCTCTACACACGTTGCCAAACGTACGTTTAATTTCTCCGAGGAGAACAAGTGCCGTAGCACCAAAATAATTATAATGTAATAATGGCTAGTGCCTAAGCACCAAAATAAACGTGTACCTCCGAAGAGGGGAGAAGGTAGAGTGACCGGACTGTAGCGTCCCTACCCTACAGGTCACATGACTCAGGCTCCGCCCTCACGACCGCAGTCTGAGGTCGAGGCCCGGTCAGCCTTACAATACCGCCGGACTCAGGTCCAGGTGTGTACTGTTACCTGTGGGGTAGCAAGAAGGGGGGAGAGGTGGAGACACCATGATAGATATTTATAATCTATCATAACACCTCCCCCCCCCCCCGGAGAAAAAAGTCTGGAAGAAACACTGTATAGGAGGCATTTTTTGTTTTAAAGTAGCAGGCACTTCTTTGAGAATATCACATTTTAATTCCAGACGTAACCGACCCTTAGCTCGTCCTTAACTAAGCCTAAGTTATATCATCATCTTTTCACACGGGGCAGATGATGAAGAGTTGATCTACTTCAATTACCTCGGCATAGTGTGGGCAGCAGTAAGCAGTGTTTCTTTCAGTGGGAAGTGTGTGTGTGTGTGTGTTGGGGGGGGGTACCCACCAGAACTTAGGGACGTCCTACAGACTCAAATTCGGGATCCGAACTCAAGACTCTTGTGTTATCAGCCGTATACCTGTCTTACATTCCTACTATTATACTTGAAAATAATCTGTGAGCTTGAGTTGCAGACGAGTTATATTGATTATTGGGCTGCTATCAAAATGATAGTTCAGTATACCAGGCCCTGAAACGTGAATCTAATTATTGAAGCTGAAGCAGATTGTGGATGGATGTCACGACCCAAAGTTTGATAACACGAGAACTGTAACGGCAGTCTGCAGTGATTTGTATCGCTTCGTCATCCCGACACACCCCCAGTACCCAGACACGGTTACACATCTTTATCAGGCCAAAGGTCACGGTCAAAAGTATGACAACACAAAGTGTCATTGATTGCACCCGATACGCCGCTACATTTCTAAAGCGTGTAATCAAATGAACGATAACGTAAGAGCAATAGGTACGTGACTGGCAGAGTCGTCTAGTGAACAGCTGAGGTAAATACAAAGCAATTTTCTATTTATCTTATATTATATAACTTAGATCTATAGCTTATTTACAAAGTAGATGTACACAATTTAGTCTAATGTATCCGTTTACAATAACTAAAAACCCAGTTATCGTTTTATTAAAGAATAAATATCGAATAGTGGGTGAATAGCCAACTTTCGTTCACAAGCTAACTTCGTGCAGATATAAATAGAGTAAATACATGCGAGGGTAAAGGTCATAACACGAACGTGCCGCTAATCTACTACACATACATGATCTTTGTTTCAGTGTACGGCAGTGTATACGTCTATTATGTTATAACTGCAAAATAGTAGACAGGATGAAGTGCTGGCTTTGATAAAGTGATCGATGATGCTAGGCATAACATTAATCGCAGGGTATTGATTTGTGTTTCCTGTGTTATGTGTGTCTGCCGCACACGAAAGTTAGACCTATCTTAGATGTTTACATTAGCGGGTGTACGTCTATCGACGCCTCCATTTTTAAAAATTGTCTCAGAGCAGTGGCGGCAGTGAGATCGGTTATTTAAATCTTGAGACAATGTGAATATTGAGTTGTATTGTTCGTAAGGGGGAAGGAGTGTCGTCATCCTGAGTTTGTGGGTGGGTGGGGGGTAGGAGTGTCCGTCATCCTGAGTAGGGTGGGGGAGGCGGTGGTTGCGTTATTTGAAATTTCGTGAAGATATGTGATCAGGGGGAGGTCGTTGGTGATGTTAAACCTTTTCATTTAGAATTGTAATGTTGTAATGTTTGAAACTGAATTATAGACGTTATTTCGCATTTCTTACATAAAAAGACAAATTCTTTTTAGCAAATCGTAATTAAGCTGAGTTAATCTATCTAAATTCTAATCCTTCTCATTGTTCAGTTATATTTTATAAATTAATCGCTGTGTAAATTTTTATTTTATTTTGGGGAGGGGTGTGTTGGGGAGGGATGTGATGTAACTTTTTCTTTGGTGGGGGGGGGGGGGGGCATACTTTTTGTGACTAAGTGCAGTGTTTCTTCCAAACTTTTTTTCTCTGGGGGGGGGGGGGGGCACTTGCATTTTCAGGGGGGGGGGGGACGGTCACTGTTAAAAGTATATATCTTCAATATAAATTCTATATAAATTCCATTTCGTTAGGGGGGGGGGGGGAGGCGGTAGACTTTCCTCGGAGGGGGGAGGGACTCTGCTCCCCCGAAGAGATGTCTGGAAAAAACTCTGACTATGTGTGACGATGGGGAGAAGGAGAGGTCAATCATATTAAAAAGAGTGACGTCGTTTTTGAACGGCTATGTTTTTTTTTACGTAATGCACAATTGGTTTGAGTATTGTTGTTGCAATATATATATATATATATATATATATATATATATATATATATATATATATATATATATATATATATATATATATATATATATATATATATACGAGAAAAATGGCCCGTTGAGGAAGGATACACCGGGCGCTAGGCTGATAGTGCTGTCTCTTTTCTCTAAACTAAAACCACCCCCCCACACCCCCCCACCCCACCCCCCACCCACCCCACACCCCCCACACACACCACCCCCACACACCCCCACCCCCACCCCCACCCCCCCACACCCACCCCACACCCCCACACACACCACCCCCCCACCCACACACACACCACCCCCCACCCCCCACACCCCCACCCCCCACACCCCAAAAAACATGTATACCGTCCCATTCAACGAAATATAATTATATACTTTTTCCAGTGTCCGCCCCCTCCCCGAAAATTCTACCCCCCGCCCCCGAAAATTTCAAGTACCCCCCACCCCTCTCCGGGGAGGAAAAAGCCTAAACTAAAACCACCCCACCCCCCACACACACCACCCCCCCACCCCCCCACACACACCACCCCCCCACACACACACACCACCCCCCCCCCCACACACACACACACACCACCCCCCCTACCCCCCCCCCCCCCCCAAAAAAAAAAACATGTCTACCGTCCCATTCAACGAAATATAATTATATACTTTTTCCAGTGTCCGCCCCCTCCCCGAAAATTCTACCCCCGCCACCGAAAATTTCAAGTACCCCCACCCCTCTCCGGGGAGGAAAAAGTCTAAATTAAAACCACCCCACCCCCCCCCCCCCCCCCACACACCTAAAAAAACATGTCTACCGTCCCATTCAACGAAATATAATTATATACTTTTTCCAGTGTCCGCCCCCTCCCCGAGGGGGGGGGGGGGGCTCAGACGTTCTTACGCGGGGGTGGGGCTTCGCCCCTACCCGAAGAATTGTATGAAAGAAACTCTTCACGCAAACCACTTAGATTAGACAACATTTCCTCTGTATTCAATGTTTACGCCAGAATCAATGACGTCATTATATTACTGTGAGATTATTTTCAACTCTGTGCGCTAAATGTGTCGACGTCATACTTCGTTTTTCGAATTACTATGCATGTTTTTAAATTGCTTGTCTTTTCTCTAGAGCGTTCTTGTCAGACAGATAGATAGATAGATAGATAGACAGACAGCGAAACTATTATTATAGATATATATCGTGTGCCTAAGTGTGTAATGAGACCGTAGTTTTGAAAGTCCATATACCACTATTTATTTTACACATTCATAATAAATAGGCCATTTCTTAACACACTGTCCAGCCATATGTGTTAACTGACACAATTATCGTTTCTCAACAGAGTACGTCAAACAAGTATCAAAATGGCGCCTAGCCTAGACAGTGGCCTTTCTGTCAAAAAGATCGAGGAAAAAACAGGGGCGATAATAGATTATGTAGATCTTAAAAAGCTACCCCAGTTCGGAGCGCTTAGTGAGAAGGTAAACCTATTAAACACTTTAGTTTCCTGCAAAGATAAAAAAAAAATTATGTCATAGAATGCACTGTTTGTTGTTTTCTAAAAATAATATTGTAAAAGTTGAAATTGTCTTTTGCTATGGGCACACCCGTTTTTTCTAATAATATTTACTCTTACAATTGTGGGCCAAAACTATGAAGTATTGTTGTAAGTTGTTGTTATAATTTTTTTTTTAAATTTTTAAATACTTTAGAAAACGAAAAAAAAAAAAAAAGTAATGTTCACCATTTTCTTCATGTAATGATAATTTTTGTAAATGTTTGAATTATGTTACAGACTAACACTCACACACATTTGTATATGCTGATGCTTATTTCTATTTGAAAATAAAAGCATTGAAAAAAAAAAAAAAATTCTTTTTCAACAAACAAAAAAAAAAAAAAAAAAAAATGAACAAACCAAAATAAAAATAAAATTAACAAACCAAAATAACAATGGTACTTGCGATTTAATTTAAGTAACATCTTAATAAATCATGTTCCTCACAGCTCCCACACCCTACACTTTAAACACAATATACACCTGACAATGATTATTCATCTTATAAACACCCCGCACACCTCACAAACATCATAGGCTACATCTAATTAAATACCTCGTACACAGCACAAACATCATAGGCTACATCTTATTAAACATCACTTATATCTCACACACATCATGGGCTACATACAAACATCGTAGGCTACATCTTGTAAACACCCCATAACCTCACAAACATCATAGGCTACATTTTATTGAACAACACATACACCTCACAAACATCATTAAACACCATTAAACACCACTTATATCTCACACACATCATAGGCTACATACAAACATCATAGGCTACATCTTGTAAACACCACATACACCTCACACAGGCTACATCTTCTGAAACACCAAAAAATACACCTCAGATAGGCTACATCTTATTAAACAACACATACACTTCAAAACCAACAAAACACCACAAGTTTTACAATAGTCCTACATACAAACATCATTGACTACATCTTCTAAACACCTCACATAGGCTACATCTTATTAAATACACTTCAAAACCAACAAAACACCACAAGTTTTACCTAAGTCTTTAGTTACAATCGTTTTTCCTGTACCCCCCACTTATAAAAATGATGCCCTACAGTCACTCTGTCTCTAGCATGACTTTGCTCTGTCTTTCAATGTAAAAAAACAACGTTATTGTTCCACATCCTAAACGACACATAAACGGGTCTGTAACTTGAGATGTCACAGATGTTCAGATGACATTGGCAAAAGGCCTTAAAATGGGAACATATCCTAGCCATTTAGAGGTCATACGTTTATGTCGCCTTTATTAAAGTGGGGTTTTAGCCCCCCCCCCCCCCCCCCTTTCCTCACCCCAACGAGACACTTTCACTTATGGTGACCCCCCAAACACCATGTGGACGTCTACAAAAATTCAACAGAGCTATTAAAAGCTACTACACATTTACTAATGTATTGTGGATGTACCATGCAGTGCTTATTATGATATGCTGTCAAATAGCTGCATTATATTTTTTGTATACTATATTGTGTTAAGGACGATGGGTGATTTCTGTTATATAATAATATGAGATTTGCTGGTCTTTAGAAAAGTTATACAGTTATATGGGCAGACGGGTGGGTCTAAAAAATCTTCTTTCTGTTGTAATTTAATACTTGCATTAATCTTAATCTCTCATATGAAAATTGATTTTCCCCGTATAGGTAATTTACACTTGCTTTAACCCTAATCTATGTTCGATGTATTTTCCCCGTATAGGTAATTTAGAACGTGCATTAATCCTAATCTCTATATATTAATCTCAATCAATAAAATTAATCACCCCCATGGCGGTAATTTGTTATTTAACACTGCATTAATCCTAATCTCTCTATGTTCAATATATTTCCCCATGTAGTTAATTTAATACATGCTTTAATGCTAATCTGTATGTTCAGTGTATTTTTCCCTGTGTAGGTAATTTAACACGTGCATTAATCCTAATCTCTATATATTAATCTCTATAATTAAAATTAATCGTCCCTGTTGCGGTAATTTGTTATTTAGCACTGCATTAATCCTAATCTCTGTATTGCAATGTATTTCCCCAGTGTAGTTAATTTAAAACGTCCATTAATCCTTAATTAAATGCCCCACTGTAGTTAATATAATACATGCATTAATCCTAATCTCCATTTTCAATGTATCTTCCCTTGTGTAGTTAATTCAACACGTGCATTAATCCTAATCTCTATGTTCGTTGTATTTTCCCCGTGTAGGTAATTTAAAACCTGCATTAATCCTTAATTAATGACCCCACTATAGTTAATTTAACACGTGCATTAATCCTAATCTCTATGTTCGTTGTATTTTCCCCGTGTAGGTAATTTAAAACCTGCATTAATCCTTAATTAATGACCCCACTATAGTTAATTTAACACGTGCATTAATCCTAATCTCTGTATGTTCAATGCATCTTCCCCTGTGTAGGTGAATAGTATCGTCGACTCCAGCTCGTGGTGGGAGCGTCACGGGGTGGACATGTGTCTCCACACCGCGGGTTTCATTGGCTGGTTCTACAGCCACTTCCTGTTGGCCTCGACCAATCCCCTCGTCTTCACGGCCGGGATTCTCCTCCTGGGGTGCTGCCACGGGATGATCACCATCAAGTCCGCGCACATGGCCGTCCACGGCGCCGTCTGCGCATCGCCCTTCTGGAACCGGATGTGGTGCTTCGTCGCGTCCGATATCGTCGGCACGTTCTCCGCGGACGTCGGGTACGCTATCCACGTCAAGGGCCACCACCCGCACACCAACATCATCGGCCTGGGTGACTCCAGCACTTTCAAAGCGCCTTTCGTGCCCAGCATGCTGTATATGTTTGTGACTCCGCTGCTTTTGCCGATTATGACGCCACTCGTCGCGCTGAAAGAAATTATCCCGGAGTCTTTTTTCAAAACAGTCCGCCATCTTGTTTTAGCATACTTAGGCCTATCCTTTCATTTATATCTCCTAGCAACCATATCACACCTGGACATTGTCACGTCCATCCTCGTCATCTTCCTTAGCCGTAATGTTCTCGCCATCCCTTACATCCACGTTAACATCTTCCAGCACATCGGACTCCCGATGTACTCCCAGAAACACCGACCCAAGAAGATCTACCAGATGACGACGGGGGTTCTAAACCTGCCGAGGAACCCGGTGCTGGACTACTGCTTTGGGCACGGCATCATCAGCTGCCACACGGAACATCATCTGTTTCCCCGGCTGTCGGACAACATGTGCCTGAAGGTGCAGCCCGCGGTGAAGAAGTTCTGCCTGGACCATGACCTGCCGTACCACGAGGACTCCTACGGCAGGAGGGTCCAGCACTTTGTGCTCAACTACAAGCAGCTGATGGTGGACGCCCCGCCCATCACCAAGTTTGTTGGTCTGCAGTAAAGTCAGGAACTCTGTTGGTCTATAGGGTGGTGGTCTTCAGTAGAGTGACCTGTTGTGTTAGTCTACATTAGGGTCACCTTTTGTGTAGGTCTACATTAGGGTCACCTTTTGTGTAGGTCTACATTAGGGTCACCTTTTGTGTAGGTCTACATTAGGGTCACCTTTTGTGCAGGTCTACATTAGGGTCACCTTTTGTGTTGGTCTACAGTAGAGTGACCTTTAGTGTTGGTCTCGAGTGACCTTTATTGTTGGTCTCGAGTGACCTTTAGTGTTGGTCTACAGTAGAGTGACCTTTTGTGTTGGTCTACAGTAGAGTGACCTTTTGTGTTGGTCTACAGTAGAGTGACCTTTAGTGTTTGTCTACTGTAGAATGACCTTTAATATTGATCAACAGTAGAGTGACCTTTAGTGTTGGTCTAGAGTGACCTTTTGTGTTGGTCTACATTAGAGTGACCTTTAGTGTTTGTCTACTGTAGAATGACCTTTAATATTGATCAACAGTAGAGTGACCTTTAGTGTTGGTCTAGAGTGACCTTTTGTGTTGGTCTACAGTAGAGTGACCTTTAGTGTTGGTCTACAGTAGAGTGACCTTTAGTGTTGGTCTAGAGTGACCTTGCTAGTTGGTCACCTGTAAGGTCACCAAGTTTGTTGCACAATAAGTTTGTTGGTCAGTAATTATATTGGTCTACATTGATTTCACCTGTTACGCTGGTCAATGTTAATGTCACTCTATTTATAGGTCTACAATATATTAATACATTTGTTAATTTAAAAAAACAGGGTCACTAATTTTGTTGGTCTTCAGTAGGTTAGGCCTCTACTTTTGTTTTGCAACTTTTTGTTATTAATGTTATTAAAACTTACAATGCAATTTTTTTATGTTACCATGACTTTTATATGGTTTTCTAAACTTTTTCATATTTATATTTTCTTTTGTTTATTCATAATGTTCTCATCTAGCTAAGATGGTTTGTATTTAAAAATGCCAATTAGTATTATAAGTTAAATTATTGATTTATGTATAATGGCAAAAGATATCTATTTGTATTTCTGCTTACAATTAAAACATTGCTATTGAAAGTAAAATGTTTATCGGACTAATTGTATTCAATAAAAGTTATTGAATTTGTAAATTAATCATAATTGAAGCTGTCATCCACTCGCGCACGACATTTATAAAAAATGAAAAGTATTGACTATTGTTGAACAATGTCAGTGAATTAGATACTTAGCAATCGAAATTAAATATTTTCATCACGTATATGAAATAAACACATTCATAAAAAAATCTGGCTTATATTTTCAGAATAATTCTTAGCATATTTATTTTGTTTTTTTTTCTTAACATTATTTATAAATGTATAACAGTGATATAAAGGCTATGATATATTTTAAAAAAAATTGTAACTTTAGATCAAGTTTAAAAATAAGTTTCGAAAATTTTCATCGCAAATTTTAGTTTCTGTCACAGCCTTTTTTCTCCTACCTATTTTATGGCACACATTCAAAACAAAAATCAACCCTTGTTCCGTTAATTTCCATAATTTTATTGGTTCATAAGAACATTGCCTTCACTCCCAAACATCGCCATGTTGTTCCCGCGCTGTCTACCTCTCTCCTTCCTTTCCTTAGCGCATGAGCACACCCACCTTACATTTTAGATCCATATCGCCTTTTTAAGATACACACTCGAAACATACATTCATCTACATTTAACTGTTACAGTTTCCGTTTCTGTTAAAAATAATATTCAGTGGATATAACCTAAACTTGAGGGTCTTTTATTTTTATAGCTTCCCTTTCTGAAAATATTTGAGTATTTATTTATCTAAACAAGTGTAAACCATAATCACTATGATGCATAATTTATTGATTCTGTTAGTGCCAGTAACGACCGAGTGAACAAGCCCAACCGGCTCATTAGTTTCTGGCTTCCCCTAGGAACATATTAAACTGGCATCGATTTTCTGGGAGTTTTATTTTTACACGATTTTTGTTTGTTTTTATTTCCTCTAATAATTTAAAAATTAATTTAAAAACAAACTTTCAATTTAATTTAGAAAAAAAAAATCGTTTTTTTTTGTGAAAGATAAGAATCCGAAGAAGAATGTATGCTTTAAACCAGGGGTCTCCAAACTTTTCAGTCCGAGGGCCGCATTAACTATGAAATTTCAGTTCGGGGGCCAGTTTCTTCCAAGCATGTCTTTGATTTTTCTGGGCAAAGTTCCTCAGCCATCACCAACAAACGATTTTTCCTTGGACAAAACGATCTCCACGGGCCGGATAAGGGACATCGCGGGCCACAGTTTGGAGACCCCTGCTTTCAACTAACGTTTTGAGATAAAAAGCATTTGATATAGAAGTTGTAACTAAACCTTTGTTCTCCCTACTCCCTTAAGAAAGTTTCAATAGCCTGCCTCTGACCTGGAGAAAAAAATATCTGAAAGAAACCCTGCTTGTAGAAATCACTTGGTTTTCATTAAAAAGATGTGTGACTTATCCATTCTTCGTCATTTTACACTACAGCATTGCTAATCAAGACATGCGAGACATTATGTGAGACAATAGTGTTAACCTCCAACATCAATTTTTTTTAAAGACAACTTGTATTTAACTAAGTACGTGTACTGTATCACTTATAGTTTGATTGTATTATAAAAAAAATATTTAATATTGGTGAAGTCTTTTTTAGAAAAAGTAACTAGCAGAATAACCTTGTTTCAAGTTATTCAGATGTTTGAATGATGTTTGAAGTATATGCAACCAGGTTTTGGAAGGAGTGGTGCGACTCAATAGCAACTCTAAAATTAAGACCGAAGAAGAAGAAAGGAGTGGGATTATAAAGTGCAAAACTCAACAATGCTAACGTGTAATTCTTAAGCTCGGATTCCAGGTATTGAATGTATGGGCCTTCACTGAGTCTGTCCAGCTCTGAAGAGTACCTGAATTAATTTGGGTAAAAGTCAAGAAAAATGGACATTATGCTGACTAAACAATACTTTTAACTAATAGATAAACAGGTGAATTATATCTGTCTCTGAAACCTGATTTAGACCTAGTTAACATCAGATATGTTGTACAGTCTATCTTCCATGATGACTGTAGTAAATTGTGAGCTTGAAATAAACGTACCCACCCAACATTCGAACATGGTTTTAATTGACACAATGGATCACAATAAACACATGCAAATGACAGTTTTTGAAACACACTTTAATATAAGAATTTTAAAAGAACCAAAGTCAACAAAATGTTAACAAAATAAATATTATCTTTGTTAGTCTGACACCGACCTATGGAAATCATATCAATCTGCAAACAAGGCACCAGCCTGTTAACAAAACATCAATTTGCTAACAAGGCACCAGCCTGTTAACAAAACATCAATTTGCTAACAAGACACCAGTCTGTTAACAAAACATCAATTTGCTAACAAGACACCAGTCTGTTAACAAGACAAATTTGCTGACAAGACATCAAATTGCTGACAAGACACCACCAATCTGCTTACAAGACACCACCAATCTGCATACAAGACACCAGCGTGTTAACAAGACACCGTTCTGCTAACAAGAAACCAATCTTCTGTCAAGAAACCAATCAGCACGCATAATCATATTTTTTTGTGGAGACAGAAGTATGGAGCCTCCATGGCATCACATCTCCATAGATGATCATGTTTAAGCCTACTGACATGGCATCACATCTCCATACATGATCATGTTTCCCCAACAGTTACATGAATGATCTACTATAGCAAACACGTCGCATTATCTAACATAAGGCAAATCATAATCTTTACATAGATAAACTGCTAGTGGGTACAATTTTAACATTCTGTATTCAAGTACCAATTTACAGCAACAGACTTGTAACAAAATGTTAAACACAACATTAACAAGTTGTGACTAAATGGATAGGCTACACGAAACTAAAATCCATATAAACAAAAACCTAATACAAACAAAATTATGATGTGAGTTGACATCCTATTCCATTGCGGACGTAATGGGAAATTGTGATGACAAACCAAGAAGCTAGTCTGGTGTTTTACAACGTTGTCACAACTTTGGGACAGAATATTTAAATAGACTCGGGTGTTTTAAAACGTTGACGGAACTTTGGAACAGAAAGTTTGAATAGACTAGAGTGTTTTAACATATATTCTGGATGCACTTGGATCTCCGACAACAAGACATCTAAAACAGATTTTATCTTGCTGATACTGATACCCTTTAGCTTAGTATGTGAGAGCAATTTATCAGCTGTTTCTTTAGAACATTTTAGTCTCTTTTGTAAATATTCACTTTTTGTTTTGCAACCTTCTAAAGCAACTAGATCTGCATTTAATCTCTTGTAAGTTCCATTTTTCTCACATAGCTTTAAGTAGTTATCGACCGGTATACCTGCAGCCTGCCTGAAATCCAATCTCTGTTTTAATCTAGGCACAGAATATTTAAACAGTTTTCTATGCACAATTACATAATCTGAATTTAGTTTTGCTTCGTTAAGAAACAAGTCTAAAGTACTTTTCAGTTTATTTGTTTTGATGTTACGCAGATATAGACTAGATGACAGATAGTCAGCTGTTCTTTTGTCACATTCAAGTCTCATTTGGAGATACTCAGATGGACAAGTGCATCCTTCTAATGCATCAAGCTCATCACACATGTTCTTGTATAGAATAGCAAACACCTTGATACTCCTGCCCAAATAATTAAAAACTTTGTCCTGACTTCTGATAGGATTGTCAATCAACAAGGAACTAGCCTGTAACAGCTCTAACCTCCTGCTAAGTTCCTTGTGTGAAGTGTGGAGCCATGGCCTTATATGGTTTGTGATCAGAGACAAAGGTAAATTGTAAGACAACAGCAAGTTTACTTTTTGCTCCAGCAGTAGTAGAGACATGGTTTCCAAACTTGGATGTTGAGTAATAAGTGAATCAACATCATTTTGATTGCAACGAAATATTTGAGCAATACGTTCAGATTTATTGGAACATCCTTGTAATGCATCAAGTTCATCACACATGTTCTTGTATCCAATATGAAATTTCTTGATACGCCATCCTAAAGAATTAAAAACTTTGTCCTGACTTCTGACAGGATTGTCAGTCAACAAGGACCTAGCCTGTAACAGCTCCAACCTCCTGCTAAGTTCCTCGTGTGAAGTGTGGAGCAATGGCCTTACATTTTTAGTGATCAGAGACAAAGATAAATTGTATGTTAATAGCAAGTTTACTTTTTTCTCTAGCAGTGGTATAGACATGGTTTCCAACCCTGGATGTTGAGTAATAAGTGAATCAACATCATTTTGTTTGCAATGAAATATTTCAGCAATACGTTCTGATTTATTGGCACATCCTTCTAATGCATCAAGCTCATCACACATGTTCTTGTATCCAATATCAAATTGCTTGCCATCAAATCCCAAATAATTAAAAACTTTGTCCTGACTTCTGACAGGATTGTCACTCAACAAGGACCTAGCCTGTAACAGCTCCAACCTCCTGGTAAGTTCCTCGTGTGAAAAGTACAGAGGTCTCGGATTTTCAGTGATCAGAGACAAAGGTAAATTGTAAGACAACAGCAAATTTACTTTTTTTTCTACTAGTGGTATAGACATGGTTTCCAACCCTGGATGTTGAGTAATCAGTGAATCAATATCCTTTTGATTGCAACGAAATATTTGAGCAATACGTTCAGATTTACTGTTGCATCCTTCTAATGCATCAAGCTCATCACACATGTTCTTGTATCCAATATCAAATTGCTTGCCATCAAATCCCAAATAATTAAAAACTTTGTCCTGACTTCTGACAGGATTGTCAGTCAACAACGACCTAGCCTGTAAAAGCTCTAACCTCCTGTTGAGTTCCTCGTGTGAAGTGTGGAGCCATGGCCTTACACTTTTAGTGATAAGAGACAAAGGTAAATTGTAAGACAAAAGCAATTTTACTTTTTGCTCAAGAAGTGGTATAGACATTGTTTCCAAACTTGGATGTTGAGTAATAAGTGAATCAACATGCTTTTGATTACAACGAAATATTTCAGCAATACGTTCAGATTTATTGGCACATCCTTCTAATGCATCAAGCTCAT